GCAGGGCAAGCTCCACAAATCTGTGGCAGAAACTGCCTCGAAGGGAGAGCCCAGAATTGGTATGCTGGAAATTTGGATTCCGTGAGGAATATGGAGAATAGAGAGCGACTAGGGAATTATATGGGTCGTGAACCAGAGATTGAGGGTCTAGGGCAGGCAGAAAAGGTTGGATAGTGAGGAGCATGAGAGAAATCCTCTTGGAAAGGAGCACATAAAATAAAATTAAAAAACTAATAAACAGGACTAGTTTAAGGTGAAGAGAGGTGGAGGAAAATCTACTTGACTGAGGGGAGAAAAAGAGTGGAAGAACTAAACATCTAGGTAAACACAGGAAAGAAGGTGGAATTCTTGATTAAAATTCCAAAGGGAAAGGGGTCACAAGCAAGCAGAGGGAACCGGGGGCAAGGAGAAAAGAGCTGATGGAAATAGACCCACCTTTAAAAAAAAAAAAAACTAAGCTAAAACTGAAGAGACGTAATACTTTGTAACATAACTTGGGGGAAAAACAATATTAGAGAGAGATGGAGGAAAAGATAAACCTCTTTCTCATAACTTTAATTGTGAATGGATTAAACAATCCAGTAAAATGAAACAGGGACAGATTGGATAAGAAAGCAAACCCCAATAATCTGTTGCTTCCAAGGAACACATTTAAATAACAGATAACCAAGCAAAATTGAAGGGGATGGAAAAAATTTACTGTGTATTAAGTGAATTCTAAAAAGTAGGAGTTGCAATCATGCTGACAAAGCAAAAACAAACATTCAAAAAATAAAAAGGAGGTAAAGAAATAACTATGCTGAAGTTAGCATAGACAACAAATCAAAATCAGTAACAACAGACAAATTAATATGAGGAACATATATGCTTTAAATTCTTTATTATCCAAATTCATAAGGGAAGCATTAGTTGAGCTATAAGAAGACGTAGATGGTAACACCATCGCAATAGGAGAATAAAATATCACTGTCTCAAGTCTTGGATAAGTTAATAGGATGACAGAAGGAAAAATACGGAGTTCACCAAATTGCTAGAGAAACTAGAACTAAAAGACTTCTGGTAGCTTCTAAATGGGACTGCAAATGAGTATGCATATTTCTCTGCACTACGTGAAACTTTTTCCAAAAATTGACCATGTTTTAGGGCACAGAGATATTGCAAGCAAATATAAAAAGGCATAAATAGTAAGAACAGCATTTATAAACCATACCACGAGATGGTCCTTGGTTCAGGGACCACAAACAAAAGACAGACCCAAATGGAGACTTAACAATGAAATCCCAAATAATGAGTGGATCAAAAACTAAATCACAGAAAAAATTATATAAAAGAAAATGATAATGATGAAACAACAGAGGAAGTTTCTAGGGTGCAACTAAAATAATCCTGAAGGGGAAAAATAATATTCCTATAAATATACGTTAACAAAATAGAAAAAGAGAGGATTAATGAACTGAATATGCATTTTTAAAAATTAGAAATCCAACAAATAAACCTGAAATAAGCAAAAAAAGGATATATTCAAAATTAAAGGAGAAATAGGTAAATTGGAAACATAATAACAAATGATAACTAAAACTAAAAGCTGGATCTTTGGAAAGACTCATAAAATGGATAAACCTTTAGCTAATCTGGTTAAAAAGAAGAGAGCAGAAAATAAAACCAATTAAATAGCAATGAACAAGTTGAAATTGCATCAAAATCTGGAGAAATTAAAAGAATTATATGCTAACATAACTAAGAACACCAAAAAGAGGAATATCTTCAAAAACATAACATACTCAAACTATCTGAAGACCAGATAGAGTTCTTAAATAACTCAATCTCAGGAAAGGAAATAGATGTAAAGGAATTCCAGGGGCGGGGGGGGGGGAGGGGAAGGGAAGAGAAACTCCTGATCTTGATGAATTCCCAGGAGAATTCTATCAAATCTTAAAAAGAACAATTAGTACTCATACTTTACAAAATAGTCTCAAAAAGTGAGAAATAAAGCAGCCTCCTAGAATCTTTTTTTTTTTTTGTGAAACAAATATAGTCCTAATACCTAAACTTGGGAAAGAGGAAACAGAAGGAAAAGCTGTAGATCAATATCATTAATGAATATTGACTAAAAATTTTTTTAAACAAAATCCCGTTGAACAGACTATAGTGATTTAGGCAAGAAATAATTTATTATGAGCAAGTAGAATTTATACCGTGGATGCAAGGATGGTTCAACATTAGGAAAACAATCAACACAATTAATCACATTAAAAAGCAAAACATCCAAAACTATACAATTAATAGATGCAGAAAAAGCCTTTGACAAAGCATTGCACTCGTTTATGCTAAAAACCCTACAAAGTGTAGGCACAGATGGGTTTTTTTAACATCATAAAAAGCATCGCTCTACAGCCAAAACCAAGGATCATGTGCCATAGGATACCCTAGAACCTTTTCAAGTAAATAAGGGAGTGAGCACGGAAACCCACTCTTCCCATTGTCATTTGATATTCTGGAAATATAGCGACATTGATAAGACAAGAGAAAAATGAAAAGCATAAAGACAGGTAAAGGGGATGAAGACTATCCTTATTTGCATATGGTATACTTGGAAAATGCTAGGGAACCAGCAAATCTATTGATTGAGACAATTTGATTATTAGCTATTAATTATTAAATTAATAGCTTCAGCATAGTTGCCTGCTACAAAATGAACCCTCAAAAATCAACAGCATCCCTATACAATGACAAGAAGCAAAAATAGAAAAGCAAATCACATTCCAAATAACTACAAAATACATAACCTATACAAAAAATTTGTAGAGTCAATTATAAAATATTCCTTAAAGAAAGAAAGAGTAACTTAAATAAAAGAAATAAAGAGCAACTTAAATCTTCAATGCGTGGTTAGTCCATGCCAATATAATGAAAATATTACCGAAGTTAATTTACGCTTTCAGCGCTACACCAATCAAACTATCAAAGGAATACTTTATAGCATTTGATAAAACAATAAAATTCTTTTGGAAATACAAAAGGTCTAGAATATCAAGGGAAATTATGATAAGAAGTAGGGATGAAGGGGGAATAGCACTTCCAGTCCTCAAACTGTGTTCTGTAGCAGCAGTCATCCAAACCATCTGGTATTGATTAAAAAGGGTAGCCACAGTGGATAGAGCACCAGGCCTGGAGTCAGGAAGACTTATCTTCCTGAGTTCAAATCTGGCCGTAGCCACTTACTAGCAGTCACTTAATCCTGTTTGCCTCAGTTCTTCATCTGTAAAATGAGTGGGAGAAGGAAATGGTAAATCACTCCAGTATCTTTGCTAAGAAAACCCCAAATAGGTTACAAAAACTTGGACATGTCTGAAATGACTGAACAACATTGGTTAAAAAATAGATCAGTGGAACAGACTAAACAAAAACAGTAACCCAGTGTTCAATAAAGTGGAGAATATAAATTATCTAGGGAAAAAAAAAAACTCCTTATTTGATTAAAAACTGCTGGGAAAACTGGAAAGCTATCTGGCGTGAATTAGGCTTAGACCAACACTGTACACCATATTCCACAATGCATTCTAAATGGATATGCAACTTTCATCTTAAAGATCATACTGTTTCAAAAATTAAGAGAAGTAGATCATATATCTGTCACAGAGAAATGCCAATCAAAGTCACCCTGCAGTTTTACTTCACACTCTGTAAATTGGCAAAGATGACAAAAAATGGAGACTGTTGATGTGGGGGGGCTGGTTGTTGTTAGTGGGTCTGTGAAATGATACGACCATTTTGGAAAGCAATTTGGAAGTATGCAGAGAAAGCGACTGAAATATCTATGTCCTTTGAACGAGAGATTCCATTACTGAACTAATTCCCCAAGTAAGTCATTGATAAGAAGAAAGTCCTCAAAAACACCAAAATATTTATGGCGCTTTTTGTGGTAGCAAATCATCAGAAGCAAAGTAGACATGCATTGATTGGGGAATGAGTAAGTAAATTGTGTTACATGAGTGGAGTGTAATATTCCTGTGCTGTAAGAAATATGTGTGTGATGAATGCAGAGAAACATGCCGTAGAGTAAATAGCCAAGAAAACAATCTACACAATGACTATAACAACACAAATGGGGAAAAAAAAAAAAGACATACCGAAAACCACAAGTGAATGTGACAAAATGTAGAAGTCCAGCAGAATTGGATCCAGAATGAAGAGAGGTGAGAGGATACCCCCAACCCACCCCTTGGTGGAGGGGAAAGGTCCACAGGGGTGACACATGGCAGGTTTGGGTTTTCAGTGTATTGATCAGTTGTGCTGATTTTTTTTTTTTTTTTGAGGAAGGGAGACATCTTTAAAAATACCATATATGGGGATAATTATGATGATGTAAAAACATAAAAACTTTTTTTTTTAATAATGTAAGGTAATGCTTTCCCCAGATGAGTCTTATCCATATTCCTGGGGAGAGGAAATTACAACCAAAGAGTCTATCATCATACTTGCATTTATCTGGGACAAAGGAAGCCATCCCTTTTTGGAATACATTTCTTCATTTCGTCTCCTCTAGAGTGGCAGCTTGGTAAATGGGAAACAGCACTGACTGGAACCTGTGTGGGTCTGACTTGTGACTGCCACCTTGGTCCCTTATAAGCTATGTCACTCTATCTTTCTGACCCTCAGTTTTCTCATTCACAAATTTGTGGATGAGAATATAGTAGGTAATAAAAGTGTGTTGAATGAATGCAGATCCTGTCCATATACCTGCTGTTTTGAGGATCATTTGAAGCTGTCCAGTTTGCCATCTTTAATGCTCAGTAAGAAGGCTACTCTCACTTGGTGTAGAAAAGCCTTGATTCTTGATTCTTGATTCTCTGATTTTTGTTTTTACTGATGTGTTGGTTAAGAAAGGAGGAGTAGGAGGAATAGGTGATTTCATCTCTCCTACACTAGCTTCTTTATTCTGGGTAACAATTCTCTTTGGAACTAATGGGGTGATGCTTATCATTTGTGATTATTCTCAGAGACAATCAAATGCTTCTCAGACCCTCTGTGATATCATCCGACTCAGCAGAGACCAGAGCAGTCAGACACAAGAGATTTCTGAGCCTGACCCCCTCCTCACAGTCCTAGAGTCGTGAGTATCCAGTAACAACCAGGCTACTGGCCACATTGTCCTCGAATTCCACTTCGGCTGGGTCCTGCTTGCTTTAGAGGAAATTTTGCTCTGGGCATGGATTTCAGTTCATTTTTTGTGTTTTCCCACTGACTTCAGAATGGACTGCTCAGTGCTTTCGTGCCTGACATTCTGCTGGAGTAAATGCTCCCTGCATCAGCCAGGCTTTCCTGCTGTCTGGTGGGACCTTCAGCATGAACACTAGCTTTCCTTCTGACCTTAGTAGGGGGTTCCATGATTCATTCTCTCTTTCCCTGACAGTAACTCATGTGTCTATTTAACAGACAGGGATGTGTGGAACGGCTTCTAAAGAACATGTTTGATGGAGACCTGACTGAAAACTGCTTAGTCAATGGCACTCAGATTCTGCTAACGTTGTTGGAAACAAGGAGATCTGGGTAAGTCCTTTTCTTAAAGAAGATGCATTTGTGTGGCATCTGAACTTAACACTTACCTAGCACCTGAGAAGTTTGGGGGTCATTTTACTTGTTATACCATCATCATTCAATCAGTAAACCAGTAAGTATGTGTCAGGTCCTGGGTGAGGCACTAGTGAGACAAAGACAAAACCAGAGGGGTCCTTGCCTTCAGGGAGCTCACATTCTAATGGGGGAGACAGCATTTACAAATGGGAGCGCACACAAGATGGATGCCAAATAGCTTCAGGGTGATATGGAGTGACAGTAGCTGAGGATGTCAGGAGCGCCCCATGTAGAAGGCGGGGCTTCAGCAGAGCTTCAGGCAAAGATGAGGAAGATGTGCATCCCAGGGAAGTGGTACAGCTAGTGCAAAGGCGTGAAGAAAGGGCAGGGATTGCTGAATGTGGGGAATAGCCAGAAAGTCGGGCGGGAGAAAGGGACGGAGCAGGGCTGAGAAATGAAGGTCTGGAGTGCCGAGCAGAGGAGTGAATTCAGCAGAGCCAAGAAAACAGTACACAGAGCGACTGCCACAAGGTAAACGGACAGGACAGGCGCAGAGCTGGAGTGAATGTGGCAGGATTTAAAAGAATACGCTTTTCCTCAAAGAAAAGAGACAAGAAGGCACCTGCCTCTCCGAAGGCCGGGGTCCAGGCGTGTCGAACATTGCGCATTCCATCAATCTTCTTCAGTGTCCTAGTTGGTTTTGCTGATTTTTTTTTACCTCCTTCTTGTAAGGGATGGCTCACTGGGAATGGTGAATTCTAGTTAATAGAAAAAATGAAAATATCCACAAAATCTATTTTATTTTTAAGACAAAACAATTGTAACAGTTAGGGGCATCCAAAAATTGAGTGTGCCGCTCCTGTCAGGAGTGGCTTCTCTGTCACAGGTAAGTGTTCAGACAGAGACAAGAGGACCATTTGTTAGGAATGCTGTGGAGGAGAGATACGGGACCTGGATGAGATTGGATCGTGTGACCTCAGAGTTCCCTCCAAATCACAGATTCTGTAAATCCTCCGAGAGATGCAAAGTGAGGGTCTGGCTGCATCTCCCCATTCCAGACCTCTTCTTATGGGGTCCAAAGGCCAATTTTGTTAGAGTTCTACTGATTGAATGCTTATGATTCCAACACCTTCTTGTCCCCTTCCCCAAATTTTACTTTCCAAACGAATTTTATTCTCTGCCATATATTTCAGCTGAACTCTTACCTCAAGTGTACACTTGTCTTAAAATTATGTCTCATAATTTGGTTCAACAAAATTTTGAGTGCCACTGTTGATGCTTGAGATACACAAACAAGATGGTCTCTGCCTCACTGGGATGATAACAACCACTAGTACATAGATAAGTAAATTCAAGGTAATTGGGAAAACTCCGTGAGGGCTGAGATTGTCTTGTTTTTGTATCTTGTCGATTTAAATGGACAAAGTCATCAATTATACTTTCCTTTTGTGACTTGGATGATTAAGAAGTTAACACACTCCAAAAGTACCTATTGGTGACAGGCTCACCGGGTAGCCTGGACAGGAATCTTCATGGGAGGCACAGTCAAGATGGCAGAGTGAGAGGTAGCATTTTTGGTTAGCTCACCTAGCATACTTCCTTCCCAGTAAACTAGAAGACACAATAAATTGCATTCTGATTGGAAAAGCCAAGAAAAAGTCACAGTGAGTTATTTTTCTAGCCCAGAGCGTCTTAGAAAGACTGAGAGGTCTGCAGACATTTGGGTGGGGGCTCACCAGAAGCATAGCATGGCAACCTGGACAGTAGGAAGAGGAGTATTCTAACCATTGGGGATAACAAGGAAACTAGGACAGAGTGTCAGGGCAGGAAGCACCAGGGCAGAAGGAGGTATCCGAGGAGTCCTGAACTTGCTGTGGGAGCAGGAAGAGAAGCCATCTGGCCAGTCTGTTGCCTGTTATCCAGCTCTGGATTACAAATCCAGGGGCAGAGAAAAGTGGTCTCTAGAGCATGGGGCCTAGCTGAGCACTGAGCAAGGAACGAGTTCCCAGAACTTAGTTGTGTGGCTTGGAGTCGGGAGCAGAGCAGGGACTCTTAAGACCAGCACGCACACCTGCAGTAGGATAAGCACAGCAGGAGCCCAAGACGAAGGGAGCCGGCAGAATCTCCTACTGGGCTGACAGTGACTGAGTCCAGCAGCCGTCTGTGGAAACTCTGTGGAAACTTACACAAGCCAATAGACCCAAATGTGCGTTAGGAACTCACAGAGCTCAGACCAAGCGATAAAAAGCAGCAGAAGCTCAGGCAAGACATTCTTCCCTCCTCCCAGAAGTAAGCAGAGCCCAACATCAACATAAAGTCCAAAGTCATGAGGCTGGACGAATAATCAAACAAACAAAAGAAGAATCTGACCATAAAGACCGTGGTGATAAGGAAGCTCAAGTCACAAACATCTGCGAGCAAAGACTCAAAGTAAAATGCAGATTAGAGACAAGCCCAACAAGAATTCCTAGAAGAGCTAAAGAAATAGATTTTCAAAAAGAGGGAAAAAAATTAAAAAAATAAGAGTATAGTAGAGGAAAAAATAGGAAAAGAGAGCTGTGCGGTAAGGTTATAAAAAGAGAATCAACAACTTGATAAAAGAGGTACAAAACCTTACTGAAGAAAATAACTTCTTGAAAATTAGAATTGACCAAATGGAATTTATGACTTCATGAAATGTTAACCAGTAATAAAACAGAGTCAAAAGTCTGAAAAAAAAGTGGAAGAAAATATGAAGTATCTCATAGGAAAAATAACTAGTCTGGAAAATAGATCAAGGAGAGATAATTTAAGAATCATTGGACTACCTGAAAAAAGTCTGGACATCGTATTTCAAGAAATTATAGGGGCAGCTAGGTGGCGTAGAGCACTGGCCCTGAAGTCAGGAGAACCTGACTTCAAATCCGGCCTCAGATCAGACACTTGACACTTACTAGGTATGTGACCCTGTGCAAATCACTTAACCCCAACTGCCTTAAAAAAAATTTATAAAGAAAAACTGCCCAAATATCTTAGAACCAGAGGGCAGAGTAGAAATTGAAAGAATCTGTTGGTCATCTCTGGTAAGAAACCTCAAAATAAAAACTACCAGGAGTGTTAAAGCCAAAATCTACAGCTCCCAGATTAAAGAGAAGATGTTGCAAGCAGCTGGAAAGAATTGAGAAGAGTATGTAGGAAGAAAGTCCTGCAAAGCAGTAGTTTAGATCATATGAGATTTAGCAGCTAAAGGAACATAGGGCTTAGAATCTGACATTCCAGAAGGCAAGGATCCAGGATTGCAGCCAAGAATAACCGGCCCGATGGGGCAGCTAGGTGGCGCAGTGGATAGAGCGCCGGCCCTGAAGTCAGGAGTACCTGAGTTCAAATCCAGCCTCAGACCAAACACCTGACCCTTACTGTGTGACCCTAGGCAAGTCACTTAACCCCAACTGCCTAAAAAAAAAAAAAGAATAACTGGCCCAGCAAAACAGAGTATACTTCCATTGGAGAAAAATATGGACATTGATTAGACAGAGGACTTTTAAGCATTCCTGATGAAAAGAGCTGAATAGAAAATTTGACATTCACAGTACTGAAGAGAAGGACGAAAAGGTAAATATGAGTGAGAAATCATAAGGGACTAATCAAGGTTCAGAATGTTCTCATCACCAGGGGTTTTAGAGAGAGACTAATTAGAAAGAGGGCCTAGGTGTGATTCTGTTATGTCTAGATGATCTCCAAAGAAGAATGGAAGGGCGGGGAAGATGAATTCACTGGAAGAGGGGGGATGGCGAGAAAGGATGAGGAAAATTATCTCACATAAATGGGGCATGCAAGGAAGCAGTTAAAAAATGGAAGAGGCAGTAGGGGGAGTGAGCAGGTCTCGAACCTCACTTTTAACTGAGCTGGTTCAAAGAGGGAAGAATACATGTACAGATGTAGTCAGGTACAGATATCCTTCTTCCAATAGGGAGGAAAGAAAAAGGTTAAGAGAAAGGGGGTGGTGGGGCAAGAGGGAGGGTGGATTGAGGAAGGCAAAGGTCAAAAGCAAAGCAGTCTCTTTAAAGAGGGGACAAGCTGAAAAAGAGAAGGACAATTATAAGAAAACAGGATAGAGGGAAGCACATAAGTACTGATCGTAACCATGAATGTGAATGGCATGAGCTCATTCATACCCCAGTCTTGTCATCATGCTGCTAACTCAGCCTTGGATACCCCAATTTCTTCCCACCTCCCTCAGCTTCCTCTCCCCTCTGACTGGAGGCTTCTCCCAAAGCTTTCCTCTATTATGAAGGGCAGAAACTGGACTTTCCAGCCCACAACACTCCCAACCCCACTGAACAAGATGTCCCCATGTCAGGTACCCACTGGGGTCGTTCTCTGCCCCCCTGTCCAGTTGCCTTTTGCGTTTGTCTTCCTTCATTAGATTCTAAGCTCCTTCCTCCATGTTCAAAAACATTTATAACAGATCTCTTTGTGGTGGCAAAGAATTGGAAATTGAAGGGAAGCCCATTGATTGGGGAATCGCTGAACACTACGTATGTAATTGGGGGGGAATACTGTTGTGCTATAAGAAATGTTGAAGGGGATGGTTTCAGAAAAACCTGGGAAGACTTTTATGAACTGATGCACAATGAAGTGGACAGAAGCAGGATAACACTGTGCCTAGAAACAGCAGTATGGTAATGGTGGTCAACTGTGAAAAACCTTAGTGCTGATCGGGGCCATGATCCCCAGCATTTCCGAAGATCTCACGATCAAAAATGCAGTCTGCCTCCAGAGAGAGAACAGAGGAAGCAGACTTTTCACTTTCTCTATGGTTCTTGCTTTTTTTTTTTTAACATGGCTATTGTGGATATTTATTTTGGATGACTGTACGTAAATGTAAATGGTTTTGTTTTTCTTGCCCTCTCAGTGGGTGAGGAGGCAGAGAATTTGGACCTAGAAATAAAATGAAATTTAAAAAAGGAGCCTTCCTCGTTGCAAACACACGAGCTGTTCTCCTGCCTTGGAGGCCCTGTGACCACTAGGCTTTGGACAGAGTATATGGGGCAGCTCGCTAGCAGGAAGGGGCCTGGTAGAGAACACAGGTCTAGCAGGTCCATGTTCAAGGCCAGAAGGTCAGTGAATGCAGGGGGATATCCCAGTGCTCTGAACTCTGTAGCCGGCTCTTCTTCAGCAGCTGAAAGGAGTTAGGCAGGGAGGTTCTGGGAACTAGAGGAAGAAGAAACGAGCCAGCACTGGCCAGCAGAGAACCCGGCCTGGGAGGAGCGAACTTTACATGTAGATGAAAGGGACAGCCAGGAGCAAAGAGGTCCTCAGCAGTGGCCCAGCAGGGGGACGGCCATGGTCTCAGGACAGAGATGGGCTTCTGTCTGCCCCGATTGCATCCCCTCTGCTGGATGGGAGCTTTCTGGAGTCCTGGAGAGTCAAGGCTGACTTTGGCAGGGGAGGGGGTGGAGGAGCTGTCGATGGCAGAACGTGACTCCTCGGGGCCAGGCCAAGCTCTGTGCTGGACCCTCCAGGGAAGGACTGGGGGAGGAACCAAATGAGAGCAGTGGCTGGCTTACCCGTGTCCTCTGGCTCCCGCAGTGCTTCCCCCGTCAGGAAAACAAGACTCTGTCAACCCTGCCTTTTGCCGTACCCCCGAAAAGTGCGCCTGGAGGCTTAAGGTGGAAGCCTAGCTTCCTCAGTGGGAAGACTGGGAATTGCACAGAATCGCGTCTAATATGACCGAGTCTTTTGAGAAGAGGAGATATTGTTGAGGCGTCTTTGAGCCTGACCAGAGGAAGATAAGTATGTTCATTGAGTGGCATGATTTTCTTCTCTCTTTTGAAATCTGCAGGGTGGAGGGCCTGATGGACTCATTCTCTCAGGGACTTGAAAGGTCTTACACTGTCAATAGCAGCATATTGCACGGCATTGAACCATGGTTGAAGGACTTTCATCAGCTTCTTCTCAACCCTCCAAAGGTAAGTTTCCTTTAGCAGCTTGGTACTGGCTGCCCATTCCCCCTAAATTGTGTGCATGCCCCTGTCGTGGGTACCAAGTACCTGCTGTTTGCACAGCACCACTCCAGGGGTGCTGGGGAGGACGAGAAGCGTGCAGGAGACTAACATCCCAGGGGATTGGGCACTGGGGGTGAAGGGGGCTTCCAGCCGATTCTTCTCAGGCCTCCCTAGGCAGCTTCCCCTCAGTATGTGGTGCTTCAGGAGTCCCAGAGGGAGAGGCTGGGGAGCCTTCTGTTAGAGATGACTCGGTACCGAATTTCATTCCAGAGTTACTGAAAGGAAGTGCCCCAGAGGAGGAGGCCCTTTTGGGACTGAAATGGAGAGATTTATGTTTTAAGTAAAGAAGAGAGACTCAGAAATCAATGCATTTTAAAGAGAGAGCAGTCTTCATTCATCTAATGTTTTGGTGTTTTCAAACACCTTGTCTTTGCTAAATGTGATAGTTTGGGTCCTGAAGAATAACCAGCTCTTCTAAATAGGGCCCAGCCTTTACAGCCCACTGACTGCTCTGGGATGGGGCTACATCCTGGCTGGAGCTAAGAGCACCAGGGTCAGGAAAACATGAGTTCAGATGTGGCCTCAGACACCACGAATGAGCACGTCATTTAACCTCATCTGCCTCAGTTCCTCAACAGTAAAATTGGGATAATGATAGCACCTGCATCCCAGGGTTGTTTTGAGGACGAAATGAGATGACATTTGTAAAACACTTAGCGTAGTGCCTGGAACAAAGCAGGTGCTTAATAAATGCTTGTTCCCCTCCCCTCTCCTGGCAGCCCAGAAATGTAAGTCATAACCCTCCAGACGCTGGTGTGAGCATCACCCATCCGGCCTGCCGCCATTCCTTCCTTGGTGGGTGGGTGCCGATGAGGAGGCAAAAGTAAAGAAGATTCCTCGACTCAGGAAGTGTGGCAGCATAGCTCGTGGGCCTTCTCCAAATACAGACATGTACACATCAAGTTGTATTTCTCCTTCCCCAGAAAATGTCAATCCTGACCACCATCGGTGTCCTGGAGGAGCCCCTGGGGAACGCCCGACTCCACGGGGCGCGGCTGATTGCTGCCTTGCTGCATACCAACACACCCAGTATTAACCAAGAGTTGTGTCGGCTCAATACCATGGACTTGCTACTTGTAAGTAGACTCCTAGTGCCCTGAGGTCCCGGAGGCCCAGCTGTGCAGCCTTCCTGCTAGGTGGACATTGGCCCCGGAGAGCCCAAGGCAGCCTTCCCGCTTGTTGGACAGCCCTCACTTGGAGGGATCAGAGCGAAAACTGGCTTCCCCAATTTGCCCCTGTTGTTACTGGTTCTTTGTTCTGGGGGGGAGAGGGAGCGATCCTTACCCCCTTTCCATGTGACACTCCTGATACGTGAGAATCGTTTTCGTGTTTTCAGCACAGTTTTCCAACGTCAGCATCAACGAGTGCCTTCGACCCTTCCTCCTGTGACTTAGTGTTTAGTCCCTTCACCATCCTGGTCACCCTTCTCTGGACGTAGTTCAAGTTCTTGTTGTTTTTCCTCAAATTGAACACAATCCTCCTGGTGGGGACTGATCGGGGCAGAGGACAGTGGCATTACAACTTCTCTCAAGTCAAGTCAGCATTTATTAAGTGCCTGCTGTGTGCAGAGCACTATGCTGGGTGTTGAAGGTTACAACAAAAAAGTCCTGGTCCTCAAGGACCTTCCATCCTCCTCCCTCTTTGAGGTGGCAGCTTCTGTTAATACAACTGAAGATTCCCCTAGCATTCTTGGCCTCCGAGTCACACTGTTCAAATACCCCTTTTTCTCTTGTTGGATTTCTTTTTTTAAAGTATCAAGCATTTGTTTTTTTCTCCCTCCCGCCTTCTTCTCATCCCCCTCCCCCAGAAAAAAAAGAAAAACAAAATCCTTGTAACAAATATACACAGTCCAACAAAACCGATTGCTGTAGTGGCCGTCCCCAGAGCTGTGTGTGTCGTCCTGCACCCGAGCCCATTTCCTCCCTGTCAGAAGGTGCTCTTCACTATCAGTCCTCTGAAGTCATGGCTGGCCATTATGTTGATCAGAGCTCTTAAATCTTTATTCGTTTCCACTGAGGTACTTTTCATATAAAAATTTAGCTCTTCCTTCCTGTTGTAATGAATTTCATTTTTTAACTTGTCTGGTGTCATGCATTTATTAAGTTTCAGCTTCTTTGGTTTGGCCCATACTTCTAGACAAGGCTACATAACCTTTTTTGTGACATAGACCCCTTGGGTAGTCCAGTAAAACCTGAGGACCCTTTCTAAGAATAAGGTTTTTAAATGCGTGAAGTAAGATTCATAGGATTGAAAGAGAAAGCAATTGTATTGAAATGCAAGTATCAAAATATATATTTTTTACAAGGTTTGTGGGCCTCAGATTAAGGAATCTTGTTCTAGGATCTTTTTGGATCCCAATCCTCTCATTAGTGGATTAGGGTCTCCCAAACTTCATGTCATCTGGAGATGCCATCTATGCCTTAATTGACTTTTTTAGAGACCTGACCCCAAATGGAGCCTTGGAGCAGTTCTGTAAAGGCCAAGGAGCGTGTGGAGAGGTTGACTTAGGCAACTCAACCTCTGTCTGAAGGGCCACCTCTTCATCAAAGATGGGTAAAGGAAGAGGTAGTGGGGGAAGAGAACTGAATGATGGGAAATGAGGAGGGTAGAAGAGGGAGCTTTAGGCAGATGCCCTCAGTTGGGGGGTGAAGTACGAGGCCAGATGCTCGGCTCAGACGATGAGGTTAGGTGCTGTGAGAGGCTTTGGAATAGCTGCTGTGGAGAATGGGACAGCCACTTCATGAGGGAGGAATAGAATGTTGGCCTTTCTGTAGGGAGGATCTGTAAATTTGTAGTGAGCCCAGTTCCATGGTTTTAGAATTTCCTCAGGCTCCATTCAGCAGTGTGTGGATGGGAGCAAAGAAGACCCAGGGGAGTGATTCAGGGTTGGGTGTTGTCAAGGTCTGTTTGACTCTGGGACAAGAGGACAAGATTCAAGAGTGAAGGAAAGTGTAGAGTTGAGTTGGCTTACTAAGGGGTCACAGCTGGGAAGGGAAGAGAGGAAAGTGTAATTAATGTAAGGGTAATAAAAAAGAACAGAGGCATGGCGGAAATGGGGGGTCACAATGAGGATGGAGAACAGGGGTAGGAATCAGAAGGCACAGGGCAAGTGCAGTGATAGAAGATCGTGATCAGAAGTGGAATGTTAGTGGGTGCTGGTCGTGGCAGGGATGTGACATCTTTAGGTGGAGCTGAGGAGGCTTGGGGAGTAGGTCAGAGCAACGGAGGAGTTGTGGTATTTAGGGAGATGTATGTTGTATGTTGTAGTGATATGTATGTTGAAGCCCCTTCGTATGAGAACAGGGAGGAGAGAAAGACAGGCAAGCAGGTATTGCACTCCTTGAGGAAGAAGGAGAATGTTCTGGGCATGGATGGGTAATAGCCACCAGGACATGCATATGAATCTCGGAGGAAGAGGGGTTGCCAAATAATGGTCGGAGAGAGTCTGAAAGTGGCAGTGGGGCCAAAGAGGATTCTGACTTCCCCTGTAGGATTCAGGGCTTGGGGGAGTATGAAAGAAAGGGAAGCCAGAAGATGGAAGGAGTAAGAAAAGAAGAAGCTTATGATGGAAGGCAATTCAGCACAATCATTGGGGTTTTGTTTTTGTTTTTTTGTTTTTTTAATAATATTTTATTTTTTTCCCAATGACATGTAAAAATGATTTTTAACACTTGTTTTTTAAAATTTTGAGTTCCACATTTTTCTCCCCCTCTCCCTTCCCTCTCCCCTAGACAGTAAGCAATAAGTTATACACGTGTAATCGTGCAGAACATTTCCATACTAGTCATGTTGTGAAAGGAAACACAGACTCCCCCCACAAAACACACACACACACACACACACACACACACACACACACACACACACACACACACGTAAAGAAAGTGAAAAATAGTATGCTTTGATCTGCATTCAAACTCCATCAGTTCTTTCTCTGGAGATGGAGAGCGTTTTCATCATGAGTGCTTTGGAGCTGTCTTAGATCCTTGCATTGCTGAGAAGAGCTGAGTCATTCACAATTAATCCTTGTACAATATTGTTGTGTTACTATGTATGGTGTTCTCCTGGTTCTGCTCACTTCACCTTGAATCACTTCATGTAAGTCTAGCTTTTTCTGAAAGCATCCTGCTCATCCATTCTTATAGCACAGTAGTATTTCATCACGTTCATATCCTACAGCTTGTTCAGACATTCCCCAGTTGATGGACAAACCCTCAATTTCTAATTCTTTCCTACCACAAAAAGAACTGCTATAAATATTTTTGTACAAATATCTCATTTTCCTTTTTTTAAAATCTCTTTAGGATATAGACGTATTAGTGGGATTGCTAGATCAAAGGGTATGCACAGTTTTATAGCCCTTTGGGCATAATTCCAAACTGCTCTCCTGAGTGGTTGGATGAGTTCACAACTCCACTAACAATGCATTAATGTTCCAATTTTCCCATATCTTCTCCATTTATTATTTTCCTTTTCTGTCAAATTAGCCAGTCTGATAGGTGTGAGGTGGTACCTCAGAGTTGTTTTGATTTGCATTTCTCTAATCAATAGTGATTTAGAACATTTTTTCATATGACTATAGATAACTTTGATTTCTTCACCTGAAAACTGCCTGTTCATACCCTTTGACCATTTATCAATTGGGGAATGACTTGTATTCTTATGAATTTGACTCAGTTCTCTGTATGTTTGAGAAACGAGGACTTTGTCAGAGATACACAATCATTGTTAAAAAAACTGTTTGCCCCTACATTAAATGAATCCAAATTTGGGCTTTTCAGTTTTGTAGCTGTAGCTTTTGTTTTTGTTTTTGTTTTTGGTGAAGCAATTGGGGTTAAGTGACTTGCCCAGGGTCACAGAGCTAGTAAGTGTCAAATGTCTGAGGCTGGATTCGAACTCATATCCTCCTGACTCTAGGGCCAGTGCTCTATCCACTGTACCTCCTATTTGCCCCTGTAATATATATTTTTTAAAAAAACTACAGCTGGGGGCAGCTAGGAGGCACAGTGGATAGAGCTCTAGTCTTGGGGTCAGGAGGACCTGAGTTCAAATTCGGCCTCAGACGCTTGACACTTAGTGTGACCCTGGGCAAGTCACTCAACCTCATTGCCTAGCAAAAAACAAAAACAAAAAACAACAACGAAAAAATTACATTTTTTCCCTGAGTTACATGTAAAGACACTTTTTTAACATTCACTTTTTAAACATTTTGAGTTACAATTTTCTCTCTCCTTCCCTTTCCTCCCGCTCCCTGAGACAGTAAGCAATTTGTTGTGGCTGTCATTTTTCATTGTTTCTCTGTCTCTTACCTTACTGTTGGCCAGGTGGTCACCCTTCCATCACTCCTTTCTGTTTCTCAGTGTCTGCCCACCTCTATGGAAGTTGCCCTTTTCCCTGCCTGGCCCTTTCCAATTTTCTACCTATATTCTTTTTTTTTTAATTAAAATTTTTTCAGTTATTAAGTTATCATTTTTTGTTCATCCTACCTATTCCTTTAACTATTTAACTACCTATTCAGCTCCCCACTGGGGGTTAGAAAAAAAAAAAAGGAAAATAAAACCCTCATGACAAATAGGCATAGTCAAGCAAAATAAATTCCTGGATTGGCCATTTCCAAAAACGTGCATCTCATTCTGCACGTTGGTCCATCACTTCTCTGTCAGGAAGCTGCCTTCTTCATCACTGATCTTCTGGAATCACAAGTTATAATTGCATTGATCAGAAGTCTTAAGTCTTTCTTAAAAAAAAAAACTAAACTAAAACTAAATGTTATTTTTTTTCAATCCATATAAATACACCTTCTTTCCCTCTTGCCTCACCTCTACGCCCACTCCCCCAAATTGAGGATGAAAGAAAAACAAAAACCCTCTTACAAAATGTAAAGTCAAGGCAGATTTTCATCTTGGTCATGTCTAAAAGAAAACTGTGTGTGTGCGTGCGTGCACATGCGCGATTCTCTACTCCAAGTCTCTCACCTCTCAGGAGGTGGGTAGCATGTTTCATCATTAATTCTCTGGAATTCTTATTGGTCTTTGCACTGAACAGAGTTCCTAATTCTTTCAGGTTTTTTTGTCATATGTAAATTATTCTCCAGGTCCTGTTCACTGCACTCTGAATGAGTTCATACAAGTCTTCCCAGATTTTCTGAAACCAGCCCTTTCATCATCCGCAGCACGATAGTCTTCCATCACATTTCTGCGTCAGACCTTGTTCAGCCATTCTCCAGTCTAGGACAGCCCTCCCATGCCCATTCTTTGCCGCCACAAAAAGAGCTAGAAGTGCTTCTGCCCATCCTTGGTGTCGTCTTTCCATGTTAGAGTGTAAGCGGTTTGCCCCTGACTTGTTCCTTATGATTGTTTGCCTGTGTTTCTTGCCTCCCATGTTGAACTTGAGAGTTTCTCTGCAGCTCTGGTCTTCTCATCAGGAGTGCTTGGAATGGAAAGTCTGTTGTTCGCCTGTCACATTAGGCTCAGTTTGCTGAGTAAGTTCTTGGTTGTAAGCCTACATCCTTTGCCTTCTGGAATAGAGTATTCCAAGCTCTGCATTGGAGGTTAGTGTGGCTAAACAGTGTGTGATCCTGACTGTGACTCATTGGTGGCTTGCTCGCTCTCTCTCTCTCTCTCTCTCTCTCGATAATTTGGGCTGGAAAAAATGACTCACTGTGTACTTTTTTTGAATTTCCCCATTGAGATTTGGTCTGGTGCATTTTCTAGATTGCTTTGGAGGAATTGGTGGGTGGAGACAGTCCTGCTGTATTCCTGCTGCTTGGCCATCTTGCCTCCACCTTCCTGAAGTCTTTGAAAATTGTTCATCTTTACAGTGACTGTGTTATAGCATAAATTATTCTCCTGGTTCTGATCACTGTACTCTACATCAGTCCCTAAAAGCCTTCCCAGAGTTCTCTGAAACCATCTCTCTGTGTCTTATGGCCCAGTAACATTCCATTCTATTCATGTTCCATGGCTGGTTCAGCCATTCCCCAAGTGATGGGCACTCCATAGATTCCTCTTCTTTGCTGCTGCAAAAAGAGCTGCTATCAGTCTGCCTGTATTCTTGTAGGGCTTGGCAGTAACAGTAGCTGCAGTCATTAAGGTTACGTGCCAAGAGTTGGCATGTCAGGAGGCATCAGCAGGTGCTCCCTGTGACTGAAGGGCTGGTTTGGTGGTCTGACTCGGGCTGCTCACAGGCCTTGCTGACCCCAAGGTCTCAGCCCTGGTCTGGTTAGCAGTGTCACTGGCAGTGACACAGTCCACTTGGGGAGACAGGGTGAAGGAGCTAGTTAGAGAACAAGCTGAGACCATAATTAAGTGCTTGGACACGTGCTGAAAGGCAGTGCCTTCTCTAGGAGGGACGGAGGATAAAATGATGGTGGGCCAAGGTCATCGTACATAGGGAGGCGAGGCTGGAGGCCAGATTACCCACGTGGGCTCTGCTTTGGGCCTTCTGTGCCTGAGACGGGCTCCCCTGAGGGTTCTGAAGACATTTCAAGGAATAAGTCCTAGAGAAGCAGATTCACTGAAGCGAGCTTGGAGATGGGGTTATCCAGCCAAGAGCAGAGGCAGCAAGCACTTAGTAAGGGATACACAAAAGGGGCAAGAGACAGTCCCTGTCCTTGAGGAGCCCCTCGCCTGACAGGGGGAGAGAGCATGTAAGTAACCGCGTACAAACACGCTACAGCCGGGAGCAGGCAGAGCTAATCTCGGAGAGAAGACGCTAAGATTGAGGATGCCTGGGAAAGGGGGACCCTGGCAGAGACTTGAAGGAAGCTCAGAGTGAGAGAGAGAGTTTGGAGCGTGAGGTCAGCCAGGAGGTCAGCGTCCCTGGATTGCAGAGGATACTCAGATCGGGGCTGAGGGAGAAGAAGGCTGCTCAGTCAGAGAGGGAAGTTTCTGTGTCGATCTTGAAGTCAATAGGGAGCCATAGACGTTTACTGAAGAGGGAGGGTGACGTGGTCAGATCTGTGCTTGGGGAGAGACTGAAGACAGAGCGACTGAGGCAGGTTGTGACAGTAGTCTGGGCCTGAGGTGACGAGGGCCTGCACCCGAGGGCAGACGGCATCAGAATAGAGAAGGGCAAGGACCCAGAGGTGCTGGGAAGGTCAGAATGCCTGGCCTTGGTAACTGTGGAGTGAGAGAGCACGAGGGGCCGAGGCGAGCACCTCGATTTCTGGCCTGAGTGACTGGGAGGATGACTGAGTAACAAGGCAGTTAGCGAAAGGGGATGTTTGGGAGGAAGGGTCCCGAGGTCCGTTTGGACATACTGAGTTTGAGCGAGGCAGGTGGAGATGCAAGGCTGATAGTCAGGAGAGAGGTCAGGGCTGGACAGGCAGGTCTGAGGCTCGTCTGCGTAAGGGATGGTGATGGAGTGTGTGGGAGCTACAGAGGTCACCGGGTAATCCAGGATAGAGGACCAGGAGGCAGAGCCTTGGGGCACACTCACAGTTAGGGGGAAAGACTTGGATAAAGATCCAGGAAAGGAGACTGAGAGAGGGACAAGTTAGACAGGAAGGAGGAGAACGGAGAAGAAAGTATCAAAGAGAAGAGGGTGATCAGCAGTTCAGAAGGACAGAGGCCAGGGGGAACGAAGACCGAGACAAGGCCATTGCAGGCGGCCGTGCCACAGCCGAGTCAGGGGGCTGCCCTCCCCTGTTGAAGGCAGCTAGCTGGGTTTCCCCTTGAGCCTTGGGGTGGCTTCACGTGAAGGCTCTGTGACACACGCGCACATGCCCGGGCAGGTGGGCGCCACACGAGCAGCCTCAGGGAGGTCTGAGTGGCTGCTCCGTGTCTCCTTTTGCTCTAGGACTTGTTTTTTAAGTTCACCTGGAATAACTTTCTGCATTTCCAAGTGGAATTGTGTGTAGCCGCCATTCTGTCCCACTCTGCCCGGGAAGGAGGGACGTCCAGCAGTGAGTCTGACTGCCGAGAGGACATGCACAGTGGGAGTGGGAGCTTGGAGAAAACCGGGTCGGCAGAGTCTACCTCTGAGAACGTGATGGTGACACACGTAAGTCCAGCTGGGGCGGCGTTCGGGGGAGGCCTTCTTAGGACGGTAGGGACAGCCACGTCCTCTGACGTGGCAATGGCCAAGGCAGTGGCCCTCCAGCTCCCCAGCTCCTCTAGGAAAGACACTCTGGGGACGTACGCGGAATGGGGCCTGTGTGCCCTGCTGGGAGGAACAAAAGAAGAGTCAGGGCTGCCTCCTGCCCCTCGGGGGGCTGGCACAGAGGGGGCGGAGGCCATCCCATCCCGGCACTACCTGGTGACCCACTTGTCAGAATGGAAACCCTGGGGGAGGCTTCCCTAAGGCCATGGCCTCACTTCTGAGAAGGGTCTAGACCCAAATCCTCAGAGGTGCCAGATGAACAACGGACAGGACCCTTGCCAGTTGCCCTTGTTGACCTCTGAATTGGTCTTCTGTCTCCTCCTCCAGCTGTTCCAGAAGTGCTGCTTGGTACAGAGGATCTTGGATGCCTGGGAAGCCAATGACAGGATCCAGTAAGGGCCGCCGGGGGGAGCCTGGCCTAGGGGATGGGCTGGCGGTGACAGGGATCACATGCTCCGAGCATCACTCTTGTGCTCACCTGGTCTCGTGTGCGCTGAGCTGGGGAGGATGCAGGGAAGCTTAGCTTGTTCCCTTGGCAAGGGTGACCCTTGTGTCTGTGAAACAGAAGAATCCTCGCCCCAAGGGAGTCCAGAGACAGAGGAAACTGGGGCCCTGCCCTCTAGGGACTTAGAGTCTGATTGGGAAACAGGACACAGATTGGGCTCTATTCTCTTTCTTAACAAGGGAACACACCCAGTGTCGAGGGAGGGCTCCATTTTAAAGGTTGGAGGAAGCAGGCACAAGCAGAGAGGCTCGTCATGAGCCCAGGCATCTGTGGGGGACAGTGAGCCTGGGGGGCTGGAGGAGTCACGGGATTTGGCTGGAAATGTGGCTCGGAGCCAGGTTGTGGAAGGCACCAGATGCCCTGTTTGGGAGGGCAGGGATGATGAAGATGGAGGCCCGGGCAGCGCAGAGCCCAGTGAGAGCTCTGGGGCAGGCTAGCTGCAACCCGAGGAGGGTCTGGATGGAGGCGGTGATGGCAGAAATGGGGAGGAAGCACCAGGCGTCAGGTGTGGAAAGGCAAGAGCGAGGAGCTGTCAGGAATAAGTCCCCCGGAAGAGTAGTAGGAATGGAGAAGCTGGGGCCGGGAGAAGGAGGAGGAGCCGGCCTTGGGGTGCCCGAATCAGAGCTCTGTCCTGGGGGCGGCGGACGTGCCCAGGCCGTCCCTGGCTGTAGATGGGGAACAGCAGTCGAGTGCGTTGGGAGCAGTCTCAGGTTATTTCCCCAGTGAACGCATCTGCGTTTCCCTGAGGTTGTCAGGTGTTCTTTCCCTTTCCCTTGTCCCGGTCTTGACCCAGGCGGTCACGAATGGGGTTTACTTGGGGGCAGAGAGTGCTTTTGGATCACTTGTCACAACCCGACGGTAGGGATGGCCAGCATTTCTATAACATTTTAATGTTTGCAAAGACTTACATGTTATCTCGTTTGAGCCTCACAACAGCCCTGAGAGTTAGGTGATTCCCATTTTATAGGTAAGGAAACTGAGGCAGACAGAGGTTAAGTGACTTGCTCAGGGCTACACAGCTAGTAAGTGTCTGAGGCCCAATTAGGAGGACTCAGATCTCCTGACACTAGGCCCAGGGCTCCATCCACCGCACCACCCAGCTGTCGGCTTCATTTTTTAATATAGTTGCTCTTAAGAAATAAAATCTTGACGAAGGAAGATAAATGTTATCAGGCCCCATCTGTGCAAGGCACTGTGATACGTGTTCCTTCTTGCCTTCAGGTGCTAATTTCTGAAATGCTCTAACCTGAAATCTGACAGTCTTCTCTGATCTGGTGATGATTTTAGAACACCCCTTTGACCCACATTTCCCTTCCACAAGTATCTATTGAGTGCCTGGTTGTGGTTAGCCCTAGGGGCCTATGGACGCGCACAGGCCCTGCCCTCATGGAGCTTGCACTCTAGTAGACGATATCAGACTGTGTACCACATCTCTCCAGTATGTGCAGTGAAGGGCCCACCCGGCCTGCAGAGACAGTCTCACTGACTTGGTGTGCTTCCACTCAGTTCAACAGATACTGGGAAAATGTTGTCGTATGCCCAGCCCCGGATGAGGTGTTGAGGTTACGGAGACAATTGCAAGCATCTCTGTCCTTGTCCCCCAAGAGCCACACCCACGTCAGTCAGTAGATGCCCCTTGGAGAAGGGCTGGGCCTGCGGGCAGAGGAGGACTCTGAGAGGCCATTCCAGGAATGGGGAGAGCTTGTGCCGCTGGCTCTGTGGGGGCTGAGGCCAGACCAGGGGAGGACTGAAGTGAAATGGCTGAGTTTTATTCAGTAGTGAAGTGTGTTGTTTATTGTTGGGGAGCTCTGAAGGCCGATGAAGAGCATGATCAGAGCAGTTCTCCAGATAGATGACTCTGGCCCCCTCTGTAGGATGGAGCAAATGGTGCCATGGCCCCTCTGAGAACCCCAAGGAGTCGGGTAGCAAGTGGAGTGGAAAGGAAGGGGGCTGCCGGGGAACCGCCGGCTCGTTCCCCATCCCTGCTGGGCTCTGTTAACCTTGACTGGAGGCCTCTGCTGTCAGACACAGGGGGTCCAGCCAGGAGCCTGCAGTGCCCAGGAGAGGGGCTGGCCTTTGGTCTTCTCTTTCCAGTGAGAGAGAGCAGGCCACAGGCTTTGCCACTCAAAAGGGGCTACAAAAATAACAACTCTTATTTATGTTACTTTGTCAGAGGTGGGCGTGCTGACCCATGGCTCTGGTGATGCCTTTGTTTGTAGGGCCGAAGGCGGGATGAGGAGGGGAAACATGGGCCACCTCACCCGAATAGCCAACGCTGTTGTACAGAACATGGAGAAGGGCCCCGTTCAGTCTCAGATCAGCTCGTTCATCAAAGGTACGGGTCTCCTGCTTCCTGCTGTCCTCTCTTAGCCCTGCTAGCTCCTGAAACTTTGGCTGTAGATGGCTAATTCCAGGTCTCACCATAATCAAGTCCCTTTGGGATCTCATGCCCCATTAGCGCATTACAATGTCTCAGCTGCTGCTTTCAGTCCCTCTCCTGTCCAACTTTGCCCTTGCCTAGCTCTCTTCTCAAAGACCATTCCTGAAGTTGGGAATGTGACCTGGAATCATAGAATCTCAGAGCCATCCGGGCAGATATGGTCCTGAACTGGATTCCCTCTTACAATTTCCCCCAGTCCAGCTGAAAGAACTCCAGGGACGGGGAACTCCTTTCCTCCTAAGGCAGTGCAGACCCAAACAACACATTAGCCAGAGATCCAGCACCATCAGCCTAGGTCATTGTGAGGGAGAGCAAGGGGTGGTGATGGCCAGTCAACCAGCAACCATTTTCTGAAGCTCCTGCATTGGGCCAGGCACTGGGCTCGGTGCTGCGGAGACAGAGACAAAACGGGAGCTTTCTCTGCCCCAGTGAACTTCTGTCCCATTGGAGGAGCCACAATGTACATAACCAGGGAGATAGAAAACCAAGTCAAGGGAATGATTTTGAGGGGCAGGGTAGATGGCTTCTCTGACGTCACCGGGCCTGGTCCGTACTCAGCTTTTCTGGCTTGGTCAGACCTGACAGGGCTTGTCCTCTGCTGGTAGGGCCTTTGAAAGCCCAGGATTACTTCTCTGCCAGGATAAAAACTAGAGGAAAATTTAGTAAAGGATAAATATCCCTAAAAAAACCAGCCCAGGTTTTTAAGCCAGTCTAGGTAGGGGATGAGGGGAGTGTTGACCGAGATCAGAGGAGGAGCAGGAAGTTCCGGTGTGAGGAGTCAGGCCCAGCAGTGAAAAGCAGCTGCACCTGCGTTAGGGCCAGGGAGCCAAGGCCCCCAAGCAGTTGGCAGCCTCCCCTGGCGTGGGGAGCGGGGTTCTCCCTGTGTTCCAGCAAAATGGGGAGGGAAGTTTTTGGCTCCTCACCTGTGTTTCAGTTTCTGTCTGAGAAAAGGTACCTGCCCTCACCCGAGGTTCTGGGGCCCTTTGTACCTCTGGGATCAGCCGTAGGAGACCTGCAAGAGAGACCAGGCCAAGTGCTTCAGATGGCTCCGTCAATACGTCGGGGTCGGGGATTTTGCTGGTGTATACCACAGCCCCTCCGGGCCTTAGTGGATGGTCCCTGATCCTCTCCAAATGCAGTTAGCCTTGACCTCGGCCCAGAGCCCTTCTGACTGAGCTGAGCTGATGGAGCTTGTGCTTCTAGAAAGGGTCCTTAGAGGGAAGGTCTTGGGGATCAGAGAAGATTTGAGGCCCCACGGCCTTCCCTGCCTTGGTCAGAGCAGAGCGTGAGTGGAGCTGAAGATCAGAGTTCCTTTGGGCCCCTGGCAAGGCCCGTGGTCACCCAGAGTCCATCCTGTTTGCAGACAGCCACGGAGGATGGAGGAGGATGGAAATGAGTTGTTCTTTCACAGGAAACCCTGAGTTTCCACCCTGTCCCAAATGTGTTATCCAGGTGGATTAATGGGCAGTCTAAAACATGGGGCAAAGCTAAGAAGATGAAATTCATTCAAGGCAGATAGAAAGCCCTCTAGCTAGGACCCTCCCCCTAACCCAAAAAGTCGTTTCATGAGTACAGAGTGTAGGAGGCATAGGTAGGCAGGGCTTTGTCTTTTTAAAAACAAAAAGAGCTAGCAGTGAGATGTGGCACCAGAAAAACTCCTGTGGCCGTGGCCGCCCTCAAAGGTCAGAGCTTCTCAGATCTGGGAGGCAGGAGGCCTGCTGCCCTCAGTGGGGCCAGGCTTACTGTGGGTGGGCCAGGGAGTGTTCAGAGGACCCTGGGGGTAACCAGACATATGGTGCTTTGAGGCTGGTAGAGTGTGCACACGGGTTATCTGCTATCTCTGGGTCCCTAGGGTAGTGAAAAGTGGGAAGGCCGTGTCGTGCACACACTTTTGGCCTGCAGAAGCAGCCTGGGGTGGGCTGAGGGGTGTGCACTGTGGATGAGGGCTTGGCCTCCATCTGCTTGGCATCAGAAGGGGCTGCAAAGAAGCCAGTTGAGGTTGATGACAGAAGAAAATGCTCTGGCAGAGGAGCTGGCCAAAAGTGGGCTGGCTGCCTTGGGAGGCAGGGCCCTCCTCCTGCTAGAGGCTGCATGACCTCTTAGGGGGCTGTGGCTGTTGTGAAGGAGGGGTTGGCCTCAGTGACTCTGGTGACCCCTGCCAGCTTGGAGATTCTGTGACGCTGTGGAGACAGGGGGCCTGCCTTGCCAGATCCTCCAGGACTAGGGTGGATCAGGTTCTGGTTGCTCAGGGAGGCCGAGCTGTTTCCTAGGCCCATGCGCTGTCCCTAGGGTGGTCTGGCATTGGGAAGGAAGAAGGTGAGGCCACCTTCTTGAGCAGCTGTCCGTTATGCGGTGTCCGCAGACTGTGGTCTGGCACTCTCATTGTGTTAAGAGATGCCCCCAGCCCACGAGAGCCTGGATAAGCATCCTCAGAGTTCATTCAGCTTGTCCCTACGATCTCTGCCGTCTTAGGGAAGAAAATGGCAGTGCCCCAGGCACCACATGAGCGAGCAGTCTCGTGGGGGCCCTGGCGTGTGATTCAGCCTCCGTTGATCTTCCAGAGAGGGTGGACAGGGGCTTGGTATGCCTGGGAGTGCTGATCAATGAGAATGACCATTGCAATGCACAGCTGAGGCAGAATGGTGGGAATGGAGGCCTCCGTGCAGTGGGAAAAGCCTTGGGTTTAGAGACACCTCCGGGGCCCAGGCCGCGTTGCTCTCCTCATCAGCTGCACAACGATGAAATGAGGAGGCTGCGTGCGGCGAGCTCGAATGTCCCTTCCAGCAGACCTGGAGGCCCCCTTGTCCCAGGGGACAGTGGGACACAGTGGAAGGAAGCCTACATTTTGGTCTTTTTTTTTTTTCCTTTTTTTTCCTCCCCATTTTAGGCAATTGGGGTTAAGTGACCTGCCCAGGGTCACACAGCTAGTAAGAGTCAAGTGATTGGTCTGAGGCCGGATTTGAACTCGGGTCCTCCTGACTTCAGGGCCGGTGCTCTATCCACTGCGCCACCTGGCTGCCCCAGGAAGCCTGCATTTTGAGTCAGAGTCCTGGGTGCAGATCCTGCCTCTGCCATTCCATCCCCGTGTGATTGTCTTTTTTTTTTTTTTCTTCCAACCTTAAAATGAGGGGTTTGGCCTCCCTGACCTCGGTGGTCCCTGCAAGCCCTGGGTCCAGGGTCCAGCACTTCAGGGTCTGTGATCTCACCTTCAGCTCCAGGAGCTGTTCTGACCAGAGGGAGCTGTTTTCCCTACAGAGCTTCCTGAGGATTGTCGAGGGCGGTGGGAGAGCTTTGTGGAGGAGACGCTGCCAGAGACCAACCGGAGAAACACGGTCGACCTGGTGAGAAGCACAGCGCCACAGCGCCTTCTATGTTTTTGTGTCTTGCTGCAAGGCAGGGGGTGCTGAGGGGAGCAAAGGTGTGGGTAGACAGAGACTCAGGGGAGCAGGAAGCGGGAGGGTCAGCGTTTCACTTTGTTTCTTGGTCACTAGTGGTCACTGGTTTGACCCCTTCACTCATTTCCTTGAGGTGGTCCAGAGGGAGATGAGCCCATGGTTTGTGCAAGTGAGGCCAAGGTCAGGGACACCTCTCCAGGAGGCCGTTAGGGGCCGAGCGGCTCGCCCAGGTGGTCATGTTAGACACCAGGTAGCTGAGGCCTCGAGGGACTCGGGGGCATGCTCCTACGAGCTCCGGCTCCTTCCTGGTGACCGCCCCCTGGGCCCTGCAGAAGGCTCTCGGGATGTCGTCAGTCTCCCGGGATTCCCGTCTCCAGGCCCCAGCAGGAGTTCCCCCTGCCCCTCAGGCCCTGACCTTCCCCCCTCCTGGCTCCAGGGGTCAGGGGCAGGGTGAGGGGAGTGAAGTTGGGTCCTAGGGTTCCCCCTGAGCTTTCCCCTCTGGGGCTGCTTGTGTTTCAGGTGAGCACTCACCACCTCCACTCTTCCAGTGAAGATGAGGACATGGAAAGCGCTTTTCCTAATGAGCTGTCCCTGCAGCAGGTGAGTGCCGGGCCTGGTCCTGGAGCTCCGGGGTCCAGAACGGTGACGGAGCGGGGAGAAACCAGAGACAGCGGAGGTCCAGGGCTTCACAGGGGTGGGGGCTCCTCTCAAGGCAGCTTGTTAGGAGAGTCTGGGAAAGGGTCTCCAAGAGGAGAGCTTGGCCCTTCTAACCGCTGGAGGAAATGGGAATTTGGTGGAGAACTCTGAGGGCATTAAACAAGACATGCTTTTGTGGACCACCCGCACAAAGCCTGCCGTCTCCGTTTTGGCCGTCGGAACGGGGGCTTCCCCAGCCGCTTTAACTGAAGGGGAAAGGCTGCCCAGGGGAGCGCCACAGCCAGCCAAGAGGGACGATCACACTCCTGATGGGGCTGTGGCGCAGCCCCCTTCTGACCGGGCGTCGCCCTCCCCCCAGGCCTTCTCTGAATACCAGATCCAGCAGATGACGGCCAACTTCGTGGACCAGTTTGGCTTCAATGATGAAGAATTTGCAGACCAGGATGATAATATCAAGTGAGTTGGTGAGGGAGAGTAGGGCCTGGGTCCTTTTGGCCTTAAGTTCAGTTTATATTCATTCTTGGCCTCCCCTCCACCCCCCCCCCCCAATTGAGAAAGCCTCATTTGTACCCAGTCCATTCGCTCTGTGTCTGGAGGTGCCGGGATGGGGGTGGGGGGCAGGCTTCATCAGGAGTCCTCAGACCGTGGCTGGTCGTTGTGCTGATCAGAGTTCCCAACTCTTTCAGAGATGTTTGTCTTTACGTTGTTTGTGGTTGGTCAGTTGTTTTTCAGTTGTGTCCAACTGTCCGTGTCCCCATTTGGGGTTTTCTTGGCAAAGATACTGGAGTGGTTTCCCATTTCCTTCTCCAACTCATTTTACAGATAGGAAACTGAGGCAGACAGGGTGAAGTGACTTACCCGGGGTCACACAGCTAGAGAGTGTCTGAGGCCGGATTTGAACTCAGGAAGAGGAGTCGTCCTGAGTCCAGGCCCAGCGCTCTGTGCGCATGGTGCCCCCTGGTGGCCATTGTTTCCGTTATCTTTGCATAAATGGTACTGGTTCTTTTCACTTCCATCAGCATCTGTTCATAGGCGTCTCCAGGTTTTTCTGAAGCCATCCCTTTCATCCTTTCTTACAGCATAGCAGCATTCCATTGCGTTCACACATGTCCCTTGTCCAGCCGTTCCCCAGTTGATGGGCGTCCCCTCAGTGACCAATTCTTTGCCACCACAAACAGAGCTGTCCCGCCCAAGTAGAAAAAGTGCTTCACAAGCCATCGAGTGCTATCGAAATGTTAACTACTAGTATTACCAATGTTAAGATCCTTTCATTAAGAAACCCCTAGATGGTGCATTTAGTGTTCAGCTGTGAGACGTTACTGGACCCGCGTGCAGACGAGATGCTGAGTCTGCCGCGGTGACGCTTCCCCTCCTCGCTACCGCCGTGGCAGAGAGCAGAAGGCTGGGACTCAGATCGCTGCTCTCAGTTCAGTTGGCGCTATTCTTACACATCAGGATCCAGAGCTGTGACAGTGTTTCAATAGCACGCCTGAACTCCTTTAGGCTGTTAACCAGCATTTTCCTTTTTACAAAAGGCACCAGGCTTTGCTTTATGGAATGAAGTTTCCCGAGGGTGACAGACACAGGATGCCCAGGAAGTTGTCACAGCTCCCGGCAATGTCTGGCTCAGGGACGTGCAGCTCGAGTCCAAGGTCGTTGGAGATAGGGGAGCTGCCAGACTGGCCTTTGTTATTTCTGTTAAATAGATTTTCTGGGAGAAGGAGGAATCACCCTGCCCCCCACCCCTCCCCAGGGTCCTCTGTAACAGCACCAGATCCAGGCTAAAAAGCAAAGGGCCATTTGGAAGCCAAAACCCGGCAGCCTTGCATTGTTCTGTTCTGACGTCGCTTCTCCGTCCATCCCCGTCCCCCAAGTCTGTGGCCACGGCCCCAGCAGAGCAGGGGGTTCAGGAGGGTGGAGGCCAGCAGCCTGGCCCACAGTCTGAGCGCCCACATCTGTCTTTGTTGCAGTGCCCCTTTTGACAGGATTGCTGAGATCAACTTCAACATTGACGCTGATGATGACAGTGTAAGTGGGCCTGGGGGATCCTCGCTGCTTGGCACTGGGGCAGGGGAGTTGCAAGCAGTGGTTGTCAGTCTCCACCCTGAGGCCTGCATACCAGCAGCCTCAGGCCTTGCAGTTAGAGCAAGGAAAGGAAGGAAGGATCAGGAAGCCTAGGGCCGAGGCGGGGAGAGCAGGACCACACTCCTCCGAGAGGCCCTCCCGGTGCCCTGCCCTTCCACACCAAGGAGGCTTGGGGAGACAGCTCCAGGAGCTAATCTCCGTGGAACTTTGTTTCAGCCCAATGCATCTCTGTTTGAAGCATGCTGCAATGACCGGATCCAGCCATTCGACGACAATGAGGAGGAGGAGGACATCTGGGAGGACAAGGAGATCAACTATGCAACTCAAGCAAAATCCAGAACCAGGTAAAGGGAGGCCAGAAGGCCCTTTCAGCTGACCCGACAGGCCCCTGGCTGGCCGCGCTCGTCCTGGGGCCCTTCCTGGGCCACGGGCAGTGGGGGCCCGCAGGCTGGGCCTGCTCCGGTCCTAGGGCCTCTGCCCTGGAGTGCAGCAGATGGCCTGGTCAGCAGCTCAGACAGCAGCCTGGATCCTCCTCCACCATCACCGCCTCCTCTCCCTCCCCTGTCCTCCCTCTCTTTCAGATTCTCCTTCCTCTCATGTCCTCCCCCTTCCTGCCCATCCGTCCCAATCACTGACTTCCATGACTGTTTATTAAGCAGCGCGTTCAGCCGCGTTAAGCACTGGGGATCAAAAGCCCAAACAAAGCAGCCTCTGCCCTTTGGGGGCTCACTGCCTAGTGGGTGGGGGAGGCAGAGTCAAGCTAGTGCTCAGAGAAGGGGACTCCACATTCACGGAGGTGTTCCAAGAGGGAGAGACCTGGGGAGATTTGGAAGAATCCTCCGGCAGGAGGTGCCTCTTGAGCTTTCTGTGGAAGAAAGCACTTTCCTGAAGTGGGGGGCCCCGTAGGTGGGTGTGGAGACAAGAGAAGCGGGTACCTGGGTGGTGGCAGATATGTGGATCTGGCTGATAAACATGGGGGAGCCAAGCAGAAGTCCCCTTGCACAAGCACCCCAAAGAGGGTGGGGGCGTCAGCTGCAGGACCCCCTGCGGCCGCAGGAAGGCCTCTTCCCCCCAGGGCCCAGGGCGGGTGACCCCCCACCTTCTGAGGTGGTGTGAAGCCCTGCAGACCCCACGGAAGCCAGGGGGCTGCAGCCGTCTCCCCAGATTGATGCCACCTGCATCCTGTGGGAAATGAGGGAGGGAAGAGGCGGCCCCACAGTTTGGGGCCCCAGGGAGCCTCCTTCTTCTGGACGCCTCTTGCCTCTGCTCCAGAACTGGGCCCCGGGTCACCAGCTGAAAGGCTCTGAGGCCAGAGTAACAGTGGCTTCTGTGCAGGGCTGTGCTGGTAAATGTTTCACAAGCACTTCTCAAAAAAAAAAAAAAAAGCATCCGCACAACAGACTTGCAAGTTTGATCTGTATCTGGAGCATTTTCTCCGTCACTGCCTTAAGTCCAGACATCTGATAGACCAGCGCCTCAAGCCCTGAGCTGTAACACCTACTCACCCTGAACATTTAACACGCGGCTCTCTTGAGCTGGCTCCTCCGGAGCCCATCGTCCTGTCTGTTGTGGTCTCTCTCCCGGAAGCCTGGCCGTCTGATCCTTTGGCAGCTGCCAGTCCCCCTACATCCCCGCCTGGTGGACGTGGCAGAAGGAAGCAGAGCCGGTGCCAGAGTGCGCTCCCTGAGGCTGCAGACTCAGACCCCCTTCCTCTCAGAGGAAGTGAGATGGGGAAGGCAGGTGGGGGTCATGGTGGCGGGGAGGGCAGAGGGGGCACAGGGGGCAGAGCAGATGCAGCGCGACAGTGGGAGGAGCCAAGGAGTTGAATTCAGATCCCACGCACATCCCTTACAAAGTGACCTTGAACAAGTCCCTGCCCCTTCTGAAGTGAGGTGCTTGGACAGCGCGCCCTCTCAGATCCCTTCCAGTTCCAAGTCTCCGAGCCTGTGAGTAGAGGGGTGGCGTGGTCAAGTGTGTGTTTCAGGCATTTGGGAGGAAGCTGGCAAATCCACTAGGAAGATTGAGGTCCTCACCACAGCTTTGGTGAAAAAGCCTGAGAAGCGATGCGGCAGCAGTCCTGGAGGGGGCAAGGGGCCACCAGTCTCTTCTCATTAGACTTCTCCAGTTCTCCTCCTGCCTTTGTGGCCACTGCTGCCCTGCCTCCTCTTCTGGATCCTCCTCCAGGTGTCCCACAGGGCTCTGTCCTGGGCCCTCTTCTGTCTCTGGACTACTTTACTGGGTGGTCTCCTCCGCTCCCATGGATCTAGTGACCATCTCTATGATGGTGATTCTCAGCTCGGCGCGTCCTGCCCCAAACAGCCTCACATCAGAGACAGCCTTTCCGACACCTTAGACTGGGATGTGTCACTGTTGTTGTTGAGTCATTTCAGTCGTGTCTGACTCGTCGTGACCCCGTTTGGGGTTTACTTGGCAAAGATACTGGAGTGTTGGGCCATTTCCTTCTCCAGGATGTCCAGTAGACATCTTCAACTCAACATGTCCAAAACAGAGCTTATGATCTCCTTCCCCCTTCTGCCTTCCCCATTCCTGTCGAGGGCGTCGTCATCCTCCCATCCCTCAGGCTCCCACCCTTGGAGTCATCCTGGTTGGAGTCGTTCTCTCACCCCCAGCCGAGCTGGTCCCAAGGCCTGTTGACTTCACCTCTGCGTCATCTCTTGAACGTGCTCCTTCCTCTCCTCTGACCCTGCCGTCTCACACCTGGACTTTTGTCATAGCTGCTGGTGGTTCTGCCTGCCTCAGGTCTCTCCTCACTCAGTTCATCCTGCATAGATTCAGTCACCAGAGGGATCTCCCTAAAGTGCAGGTGCAGCTGTGACACACACACACACAAACACACACACACACACACACACACACACACACACACACACCAGTAAACTCCAGGAGCAAATACAGAATGCTCTCTTTCTTTGGTGTTCAGAGCCCTTCATAACTAAGGCCCTCCTCCCTCCCCTACCCCACCCCACTCTTTTGTCCTGTGACTCCAGCCCCCTGGCTGTTCCATCTCTTCACTGCAGGCGTTTTCTGGAACTCGCTCCCTTCTCATCTCTGCCTCCTGGCTTCCCTGGCCCCCCTTTGAGTCCTACCTAAAATCCTATCTTTTGTGAGAAACCTTTCCTGATCCCCCTCCCTCTGTTAATTTTCCTGTTTCTCCTTTCTCTATATTTTTTGTACATAGTTGTTTGTGTGTTGTTTGTCCCATTAGATTGTGAGGTCCTTGAGGGCAGGGGCTCTTTAGTATGTTTCTTTGTATCCCCAGCTCTGAGCGCTGTCCCTAGCACATAGTAGGCTTAACAGATGACTGACCAGGAGGTTTTTACTCCATGCTGGACGCTGAATTTAGGAAGGACTCTGATGCAATGGAGTGTCCAGAGAATGGCAGTGAGGATGGGGAAGGCCCTTGAGTCCTACCCTCTGAGGGTCAGCCTAAACAGTGGCATAAATAGAGACAGAAGTGGGCCACAATGTGTGTTTGACACCTCTGGGGAAGAGAAGGCTCTGGAAAGGCAATCCGTCCTCCTGGAGGAGTGATTAGATTGCATGTGCTGGGTTCTAGACTGAGAACCAGGAACAAGTTTCAAAGAGACAATTTATAGAGCACCTACTGTGTGCCAGGCACTGGGCTGCGCACTTTACAGTTGTTACCTCATTGGATCCTCACGACAGACCCTAACCAGTGGGGAGGGAGGGGACAAGTTATTAACCTCTGCTTGCCTGGGTTTGCTCAGCTGTAAAGTGGGGAACGTAACAACACCTCCCAAGTTGTGGGGGGTTCAGTGCGACAACCATAAAGATAAAGCACTTAGCACAATGCCTGGCACACAGTAGGTGACATATCGTTGTGAGCAGTTAAATGACAAACCTCACTTTTTACACTGAGAATCCCCATTTGACTCATTTGGTTCCAAAAGGGGTTCTACCCCAGAAATTGGAGAATGCCCGGAAAGCTGGCCCTCTGCTTGCCGGAATCTGGGGTGTTTGATTTTGTTTTTGGAAAATGTCCCAGAATCCCATCCTGCAGACCCCCAGGCCCACCTCCTGCAGGGGGCCTTCCAGCCGCTCTGTCCTTCGCGTGTCGTCCCCGTTAGAGGGAGCTCGGTGAAGGGCTTCGCGTCGGGCGGCTGTGATCCGGGGCCACGTTTCTCCCACCAGGTTTTCAGGGCCCTGTTTCCTGGCCTTCCTCTTGGGCTGCCGTTCTCTTCCAGCGGCCCGGCCCTCGCGTCGGCCCGTGGCCCCGGGCTGTCCGCGGGACGGAAGGCCCAGGTGAGCAGAGCTGGCTTCCGGGCACCTTCCTGCTCACCTTCGTTTTGTTCTAGGTTTGGTGCGTCACATACCTCAGAGTATTCTGCCAAACGTAATCTGGAGAACGGGGATCGGGATGGCAGTGAGGACTCAGAGGAGGAGGAGGAGGCAGCGGCAGGAGAGGTCCTGCGGGATGGCGGCACGCCTCCTTCGAAGAGCAGCAGCACCACCGACCTCACCCTGCAGGGTGAAGACCTGGCCTCGGAAGGTGAAGAGACCCTCCCCCGAGAACCTGCTCCGTGCAGAGGCTGGTCCCTCTCCGGGCACCACGCCTTTGCCAGTGAAGCAGAGTAGCTTTTGGCGGTGCTGGTGTGTCGGGGGCCCGGGGAAGGGCAATGACATGCCCGAAGGGTTGCCCGTGCCATTTCCATGCGCTTCTCCTCTGCACGGGCCCCGTGTCCCAAAGCTGCCTGGGGCCCAAGTGGCTTCTCTTGGTCCTGCTACCAGGCCTTGGCCCCATGTACCTGCATAGTCTAGGGCTCAGTAACAGGGGCCCTGATCCAGGAGAAGCTCTGGTCCTGCCAGCCTCTGGGCTTCAGCGTCCTGCTGCCCGCCCTGAGACAGCGGGCTCGTGTGGGCCCTGAACTGTGAACTCCGTCATCCTGTTGGCAGGGTCGAGAAGGAATTCAGCCAGCCTTTCTCCTGTGGGCAGCCCAGGCCCGGGGCTCCATGTGATGCTGCCGTCCTGTTGTTTTATGATGAACAGGTCCCGGCCCTAGGCCTGGTCCTCACCTCTCAATGAGATGCAGTCTTCTCTTGGGCTGCCCCCCTCCTTCCTCCCTTAGCAAGGACCCAGTTGTAGCCACAGTAACCACTGCTCTCGCCTCCACCCCCCTGCCTCCTTCCCCCCCACCCCCCTCTGCAGGCTCTGGATGGACAGCTGTATTTGATGAGCCAGTAAATTCAAAGCCCCCTCCCTCAGGTGTGGCCATGGACATCGGTTCTCGTGTATGGGATGCAGCTGCTCCAGACACTGCCACTTCAGAGGAAAAAGGCTGGGCAAAATTCACAGATTTTCAGTCGTTTTGCTGGTAAGAGACTCTTGGCGGGGAGAGCCCCTTTCAGCTGGGGCACTGTGCACTGACTCACATGCCTCGTTGAGCCTGGTGATCCTTGTTGGGCCTAGAGGGTTTCTGGGAAGGTCTGTAAAGGGGCGTGTACCAGTTCTTCCGGCCTTGCCATGCTCATTCCCTGGCCTCTTTTTTAGCTCAGAATCGGGTCCTCGATGCAGTTCTCCTGTGGACACAGGGAGCAGCCCTTCCGAGGAGAAGCCCAAGCAGAGCCAGGACAAGAGCTGTGAGTGGGCTCAGAGCTTGGGGGGGTGCATCTGGTGTATAGTGAAGCTGAGAGTGGGGCCGGCAGCAGAGACCCTTGCTGTCTCTGCGCCGGGCCCGTAGCACCACCCTGTGAAAGCACCAGCGCCACTGCCCCTGCGGATGTGAGCAGGTCAGCAGGAAAACCGGCAGCTGTCCTGGCTGCTGAGAGTCAGGTGCCGTAGGACGATGGGCTCTCCGGAATCGACTGTAGGGATGGGCTCCTAATGACATCCGCAAATGAAGTTTACCTGGAGGCTGAGCAGGTTCACGTTCCCGTGTGGCCTCTTTTAAAAGATTCTGCAGATATTAGGGTTTCTTCTTCAAACGTTTGAAGCTCTTCTGTGCATTCTTGGTAAGCCTTGGACCAAAAGAGGCAAAATCTAAAACATCATGAGAAAAGGTCAAGTGTCCTTGTGGCCTCGTGAGCCCGCCAGAGCCAGAAATGCTCTCAGGGACTTCCCTCCGTCACTGAGGAGGGTCCTGAGTCGCCACAGCCCCGGGTTGGGGGGGAGGTGGAAGTGGAGAACAGCAGGGAGACCCGCGAAGTTCAGGCCCAGGGTCCCGTTCCTCAGGAGGTCTGCTTCTCAGCCTCCTGCTTGTCCTGCAAACAGAAAGCCCGGGCTGCTCCTGCTCGTGTCCTGGTTCTCTAGCCAAGTGGGAGCTTAAAAAGAGTGTCCAAGGGGTAAAACTGCAAGCTCTGTGTTCTACACTGGATGTTCCCAGTCCTTAAGCCAGCTCTAGAGAGGAGCAGAGTCTGGGAGGAAGGGCGCTAGGATGCCCCTGGAGCGTTGGGCCACCGAGTCTGCGTGTGCTGAGGGGTGGCCGGCAGGGCTGAGGAGAGGGGACGCTGTCCCAGCAGGGTTTTGGTGAAGTCTAGGGGGCTGGCTGGCCTGGGCCTCCTCCCCAGGCCCGGTGCTCGTCAGGCTGGTGGCAGACTGTGAGCTGTGGATGTGCTTGTGCCACAAAAGGCAGCGCCGTTCAGATTGCCTCTGGGCTCAAGGCAAGTTTCAGACAGTGGGCCGAGAGGAGCGGGGGTCTGCTCCGTGCCCGCAGGCCTGTCCTCACAGGCTTTGGGTGCGTGAGCACATGGCCGGGGACCCTCCCTCGCCCTCGGAGTGACTGGTCTTCTCTTCCCTTGCAGTCAGCCCAGCTGCTCCCTGCGTCTGGAATGTGTGTGTGGCAAGGAAGGCCCCCCTGGTGGCCTCTGACAGCAGCTCCTCGGGGGGCTCGGACAGTGAGGAGGAGGAGGAGGAGGAAGAGAAGAAAGCAGGTATCGTCACAGAAACCGTCAGTCCCGGATCTGGGCAAGAGGGCCCCAAGTTGACTGTGGACGCCAAGAAGGAGAAGGCCGCCTTGACCAGGTGTGAGAGGAGGGGCCGGGCTTAGGAGTGGGCTCAGAGGGGATGCTGGTTAGGGCTCGGTTCCCTTCCTCCCCAGCACGGGGGCTGTGTCCTGCGCAAGGCAGGCGACGCTCAGTGATGAGGCACCAGTGTTTTTCTGGCCGGGGGTAGACTTTTGAGTACTTACTCCCCAAAGAGATCCTGTTCCAAGGGTCCCTTCCTCGCTTGTCATTTTTCCAGGCAATCAGTGCAAAAAGGTTCCTTTTCCACTTGTGCTGCCCATCTGGCACCGGGCCTGAGGCTTATCTGAGATGTTCTAGGGGGAGGCTCCTGGCTCAGGTGGCTTCCTCGTCCCTTAAATCCGTGTGGAGTATTAGATGGGGCCTCACTTTACCTCCAGCCGATCCGAGCTGTAAATGGCGTCCAGTGATCACATGTGGTCCTCCTAGTTCAGGAAAGCTGATCACCATGAAAAAGCGAGACGGAAGGTTCCAGACTAGTGCTGTGTGTGACTTTCAGCTCCTTCCCAGGTCTAATCTAGGGAAATGGGTGAGGCCAAGGGTCGTACGTAAGGGAAAGCAGAATGGGGAGGTGCCCCTCACCGAGAAGGCCTTGTGGGAAGAAGGCCTAGAAATGTGGGTGTCACCGGAGTCCCAGAGCAGTACCAGAGAGCAGAGAGGCCTGGGGGGCCCCCTTGGGGGCAGCTGTGGGGGGAATCCCTCGAAGGAATCCTCGACGTCCGGGCTGTGGTCCCATGTTGGGAGCAGTGGGGGAAGTGGCCCAGGCGGTCTGAGGGCCCTCTCACGGAAGGGCCGTCCCTCACCATTTGAGCTGCCCCTTCAGAGGTGGTGAGGCTTGGAAAGGCTGGCAGTCAGGCCTTGGGGTGTGGACTGGACACGAGCACTACCAAGGTCCCTTCCAGCACTCGATGGCTCTGTCTTGGGAGATGGAAGCTCTTTAGTCTGGTGCCTGGCGCCTCTAGGTGCTTGATGAATGAATGCTGGTTGACCCGTTGAATCGCTTTGCCTCTAGAGAGGGCATGGGAGGGAGGACTGGGTGGCACAGTCAGGTTTCTTCTCTGCCACTGGGAGGGTGGTCACTGATGGACAGGAAGAGATGCACTCAGGCTTGGGAAGGTTAGTGCTCGCACCACTGCCCGTCTCCTGGCTGACCCAGGCTTTTGTCCTGTGGTCCCAGGCTGCCCAGTGTGAGGCCCTGCCCTCCCCAGACAACCCCCTCCCTGGAGCAGGATCTTGGGCTTCTTCACAGACGTCTGGCCAGGTCTCCTCTTGGGTTCTGGTGCTTCTGCCGGGGCCCCTCACTGTAGAGGCGGCAGTGCACGCGCCCCCCCCCCCCCCCCGGATGACAGGTGGTCCTGCCCTCTCCTCTACCTCCACACCCCTTCTGATCCATAAGGAAGACGGAGCATGGAGGGTTTGGCGTCTCAGCATCATTCATCGATCTGTGCCTGAGGTGCAGGGAAAGCTTGTCAGACCAAACACCAGCCATGAGCCCAGCCTGTACGAAGCAGCGTCTTACAGACATGGGGACCCTGAGCAGAAGGAAGGATTTGTTTCTCCGGCCCCCATCCGTACTCCGTCTTTAAGCACTTGTGTAAAGGCCAAGTCCAAAGAGGGGAAATAGAGATAGACACGCATTCATGTGATGGGGAAGAGCCGCTGCCTGTCTCTCCCCAGCAGGGCAGGCCGAAGTTGGGCTTCTCAGCTCAACACGTGGGCGGTGGCCAAGTGCCCCCAGGGGACAGAGCCTGGGCTGGTCTGGGGAGGGAGACAGCAGTGCTGAGGCCTGTGAGGTGGTCCAGAAAGACTTGCCATGAGGATTGAATGGGGCAGCTCGGGCTGTGGCAGTTCTCGAGGTTCCCGCAGAGCCGTCCCGCTTCTAAATAGAAAGGACGGGACGACATTCTTCTTGGTTCATGACCTGCTTTCATCTTAGAACTCCCTTCAGGCCAGAAGCCCACTTCCTCTGGGCCTAGCACTGTGCTCGAGTGCCCCCCATCCCCAGTCGGGGCTGCCAAAGGCAGACAAAACGTAGGCCCAGTGAGCGAGTGACCAGCGGCCCAGGTCTGCCTTTGCCTCCAATGGGATCCTCATAGGCAACGGTATAAGCACGTTAAAGCCCAGCTCCTCAAGATGGGGAACCTTGGGAAGGAGCCCGTCATGGCAGAGACAGTGCAAACCCACAGGCACACCCAACGCTTCCAGTCCTAGAGCTGTGTTCTCGTGGCCCCGCGCTGATGACAAGGCGGTACAGTGGCTAGAGCCCTGCTGTGGCTCTGCCTCAGATGCTTCCTGGGTGAGCGACCTAGGCAGCTGCCTTCACCTCCCCGGAGACGGGGCTGGACTCAGTACCACTTGGGTCCCTTCCAGCTCTAACACCTGGGTCAAGGTCCAGACCACAAAGCCTTCAAGAATCATCGCCATAACAAGCGGCTTAAAGTGAGGGAAATTGTTACACGCGTTCACTTTCAACTCTGTGAACAAGGTAAAGAAGGGAAGGGGAAAAGAGTAAGCATTTAATGAGTATCTGCTGTACGCCAGGCACTGTGTCAGGTGGTTTATAGTTGTCTCGTTTAATCCTCACAGTAAGCCTGAGAGGCAGGTACTGTTTTTATCCCTATTTTATAGTTGAGGAAACTGAGGCAGACAGAGGTTAAGTGATTTGCCCACAGTCACACAGCTAGGAAATAATCAGTTCTGACTCCAGACCCAGTGTTTTATCTGCTGTGCCACCTAGCATTTATTCAGCAAATAAGCTCTGGCTGGGCACCCAGAGTGAACAAAAAGATGAAAAGAATTAGGGACCATTTGATGCTACTTCCTGGAGTGGAGAAAGAGCATTAGTGCCGGGAAGGCCGCCTGAGCACCAAGGCAGCCGTGAGGTAGGGCGGGAGGCCAAACGGCTGCATGTCGTCGGACAGCCCCCGTTCCCACGCCCCCTCCACCAGCACCCACAGAATCTTGTTTTCAAAAGCTTAACTTCTACAGGACGGTGAGTTGAAGGAGAAAGAGGAAGGAGGAGGGAGAAGAGGCCAAAGAGAGGAGATCCCAACAGGGCGGATGTTTACCCTTCAAAAAAATGCATCCTTTCAGATGGAAGAGGGATGAGCTGTCCAGATCTGTGAGAAACAGTATTTAAATGCCCATACACAGACATCCAGGGAGGCTTGCCTTCCTCATTTTTCTTGGAGAAAAGTCCTCCTTCTCTTCCTGGAATTCAGATCATCCCGTTGTGGCAGAGAACTCCCAGGCTGGGGCCTTGTAGCCACACCCAGACAGAGCTGGGGGCTGGCCCGCCAGATGAATAGAAATGCGACAGAACAGATGGTTTTCTAAATCGCAGTGCGGTCAGCCGGCCACGATGTGGATCTGTCGGGAGTTCAGCTCTACCAGTGGAGAGCCATGGTTTGGGTTTTACCGATTTTTGTGGATAACTCTCCTTCCCCTTCCTTTTACCCAGCAAGCCCTCTTGTATCACAAGGATTTTAGAAGAGAGGGAGAAAACCCGTATCTGGCAAGGCTAAGGGACATCTTCACTCTGTCTCAGTGCCCGCCACGGTGCACGTCCAGGGAGGGAGCGCGGTGCTCTGTCTCAGCGCAGCTCTCATCCTGGGGCAGGCTCAGCCATGAGGATTTCATGGCACTGGGTCTGGTTCGGATCTTTGCCTTGACCCCTTGGCGGCACGTTGGGGCCTCTTTCTGCTTGCTTTGCTGGGCACAGGCCCCTCTTGTCCTCAGGCTTTTTGGAGTAATCAGATTTCTCATTTCTCGTGCAGTCGTATTCTGTTAAATCTTTTAATCGCAGTAACCATGATTTAACTACTTCTTGATCAGTGGCACCCACTTTATTCCCAATTCTTTACTGTCCCCCCCCCCCAAAAAGTGCTGCTGTGAGTATTCTCATGTATAGGGGACCTTGTCTCACTTCTTTCTTCCTCAGGGTATGTACAGTTGGAGCTTTTGGGGCCAAGGGCCTGGACATTTTGGTCATTTTTTTAAAAACATGGTTCCAAAATAAAGCCACATTTCTGTAACCACGGGTATAAATGACACCTTTGCCTTCTCCATGGGGGAGAATGAAGGTTAATTCCAGGCCTGGCTGTGGCCGTGCACCAAGAGCTGAGATTGTCCTAAGAACACTCCCTACCTCCCTCTTTCCCTTCCTTCCTTCATCCCTCCCTTCCTTCCTTCCTCCCTTCCTCCCTCCCCCCCTTCCTTCCTCCCTTCTTTCCTCCCCCTCTCCCTCCCCCCACTCCTTTCCTCCCTCCCTCCCTCCCTTCTTTCCTCCCTCCCTCTCCCTCTCTCCCTCCCTTCCCAGGCTGTATTTGCCACTTTCTCTTTTCACCAGCATCTCTACTCCTCGGGAAGTCTGCTTCCTCCAAGCTGTTCAAACCCTCCCCTAGAAAGTCATCGTTGTTCATCTCAAGCTCTTTGGGAGGTGGTCGCATGTCCTTGAGGCTACCGAGACACCGCACACACGCACGCGCACACACGTGCACACACGATGTTCCCCAGCTCTGCTGAGACCGCCTCAGGTCCAGGGAGCCCAGGAACTGACAGAGTCCTAGTGTTCACAAGGGGACCTTGCCATGGGCTGCTGGGGACAACGCGGCCCCTTCGCACTGAGCTCGGGCCAGCCGTCTTGTGAGCGGGGCTCTCGGAAGGTCGCCTTTGGCATCCCAGAGTGTTCTTTGCCCTTCTCCTCTTCTGTCGTGCTCCCCACTTGGGGCCTGCCCCTCTCGGCCTCTCGCCGTGGCTCCTGCTTATGTTATTTGGACCTGCAGGAAGAGGGCGTGTGGATAGTAGTGATGCATCCCCGTAGGACCCTTTCTCCGGTCATGGAGGGGGTGGGGCAGCTCAAGAACAGTGTTGTTTGTGGGATCCTATGGAACCCCGAGACTCTGGGGCAACCTCTGGGCTTCCTGGCCCTGGGCCCTCAGGGTCTTGAGCCCTCTCCGGAAGGGCTGGGCTCACCCAGATCCACCCCAGATGGGCTTTCTGATTGTGGATGGAAACAGGGACGCAGCCAGCTCCCTCTGATTCCCCACCCTGAAAAGTACAGGGTAGGGTTTTCTGTTTATTCTCCGGAGAGCTGCTCTTGGGCATGAAGGGTGAATTATCCCGATGCTTCATGTGACTCAGCAAAGCTCCCCAACTCTGCTGGAGCAGGCCGCCTTTTGAGGGGGCTTTGACCGAGGGCTCGGTGTGGCCTCCTGCCAGCAGCGGCTGGGTTGTCACCAGGGCATCGCTGCCAGTGGGTGACGTCCTTGTTGGTTCCTGTGCTCAGAAATGAGACCTGGGCCGTCACTTTAGCGGTGGCCGTGGCCTCTGACCTGGTTGTTGGGCTTGTTGTATGAGCAGGGCTTACTTGTTGTAGAACTGAGAGTGTGCATTCAACCCAGGAACAGCCCTGGCCACCTCCTCCTCGGCCTTAGCCGTGGGGCATTGACAGAGAACAAGATGGCAGCCCAGACGCGGCCTCCTGAGGGAGGATCCTTACCTTTCGGAGTCAGAGCTTTCCTTGTACTGCTGGCAGTCCTTGCTCCCTAGAGGTCCGGCCTCGTGTCCCTGCCTGGTGCGGACTGGCCCCTTGAAGCAGCAGGCTCCCTGAGGGGGCTGGGGGCAGCTGTAAAGCTCTGACTAGTTACTGCTTCACCTGCAGAGTTTGAGGAAGTAAGTGGTAAAAAGAAGAAAGACGATGGTAGGGATGAGAGGAGGGAGCAGTCTTGGCTCCATCAGCCTGGCATTGTAGGAGTTAAGATGTGTCAGATGTGGGGAGGGTGGCTCTTCCTGCCCTAAATCTGTGGCCCTCTGACCCCCAGAAAGTCCCTGGGAACTGAAAGCAGGAGGGAGAGAGTTAGCTCCCCTCTTTCCTCCTTCCTTTCCTCTTTCTTTCCCAACTTCACCTGCTTAGGGCAAGGCTGGGAGGAGCAGGGCCTGTCCAGGCCCTGAGGCCTCTCCCAAGGGCCCCCTTCTAGGGCTAGCTGACCCTTTCACGTTCTAGACAGTCCTTCTTTCTGGGCTTGCCGTCCTCAGAAGAGAGTCAGATTAATTCCCCAGAGATTCAGGGCCCAGCCCAAGCCCTTAGGTGCTGCTCCTGCAGGCCTCCCTTGCCTTTCTCCTCCCTCCTGTTTTCTGTCTGCTATGCTCTCCTGGGGCCAGAATCCTTCCTTTCCTCCTGGAGATTGCGTTGCCGCACTCAGGGTCAGGAGCAGAGTAAGCTGGGAAGGAAGGTCTGTGATAAGCTCTGCCTCCGTCACAGCCCTGGGCCAAGCCTTGAGGGGGCCTGCCAGGAGGCCCCCCAGTAGGGTGTGCAAGCTGAGTCAGATGGAGCGAACGAAACCAGGCCGAGGCCCAGGGTCTCCGGCTCAGCCCGGTAGCCACAGAATCCCGCCCATCTGTGGCCCAGTTTCCTTTGGCTTCCTCCCTCACGGCCTTACTGAGAAGGACCCTGTCGGGCCAGGCATCCTGAAGCCTCGGCCTTGCCCCGTCCCAGTCTCGGCTGGGTCACCAGCCTTGGCCAGCCTGCCCAGAAGCAGAGCAGTGGGTGGACCGGTCAGGCATGTCCCCTGACCACTGCCCTCCACTGTAGGCAGCTGCTGTGCCTGCCTTGGGTCCCCAAGTTTGAACCTATACTCATCTGTGACTGCCCCCTCTCCCTTGGTGCCCTTGGAAATGTCATTTGGGCTTTTTTGAAGGATCAGGAAACATTTTGAGAGGTGATGCCTGCGCTGAATCATGGAGTGATGGGTTTTGTGAGGCAGAGGTGAGGAGACAGTGGCTCCCAGGCCTGGCAGACAGCCAGTGCAAAGGCCAGAGAAGGTTGGGGGGGCCGGCATGGTTAGACCATAGAGTTGGGGGAGAGGATGTGGGAAGCTGGAAAATGGCTGGGGGCCAGAAGAGGTCCACACAGCGTGATGAGAAACTCCGGAAAATAAAGATCATTTGCAGCTGGGGGACCAGGGAAGGCTTCCCAGAGGAGGTGCCTGAAGGATTGCGGGTAAAAATTTGATTAAAGATCAGCAGCTCATTGGCTGGGTGAGGCCCGACTGGGCCCCTGGGAGAGCTTGAGGGGCCTGAGTGAGCCTGGATCTGGAGCTTGGAACCTCCCAGGGCACGGCCGGACGCCCGCTTGGTTATATGTCTTGTCTAGTCCTCTGTCCCCAGGTCCTCGCCTTTCCCAGTCTTGTGGGTGAGGGTCCACAGGAGAGATGGCCGAGCTCAAGGGCCCCCAAGGCCAGCTGCTGCTTTCCTTTGGGGCTTTCATTAAGCCTTCCAAATACATTCCCAACAAGCGCAGATACTCTGAAGGGCCTGGCAGGGCTGGGAGGATGGCGGGGGGGCAGTGTCACCTCTCCATTTGGGGAACAGCATCAGTTGGAAAGGCACTGTGCTAGGCACCAAGGGTGCAGTGCTGGCTGCTCGGCCATTCCCTGTATGGTGGAAGGTGAGTGCTGTGATAGACGTGTGTGTGTGTGTGTGTGTGTGTGTGTGTGTGTGTGTGTGTGTGTATATATATATGTATAATACGCACTTTGTGTAAGAGGTGGAGGGAAGAGGAGGAGGAGCTTTCCAGGCCTGGGGCATAGCCCGAGGCCAGAGGGGGAAGGTCACGGAGAGTCAGATTGAGAAGGGTATGAAATGTTCCCCATGGGAGTAATACTGGGAAAGGGATAGGAACTGGTTAAGGAGCATCCAGCTGAGGGGTCCCCAGGCCCAGAGAGGTCGCCCCCAGGGTTGTGGCAGACCTGGGCTTCGAGCCTTGATCCTGAGCCTTCTGACGTGGGGGGGGGGGGGGGGGCGGCAGCAAGCAGAGTGGTTTTTTTGCCTGATGGACGCACGTGCCGGGACCTGGAGGGACAGGTCAAGTGTGGAGATGTGGGTTGGAGTCATGGTACGGGGGGAACGTTTGGAGCTGGGGGGGGAGAGCTTGCTGAGTGCTGAGGAAAGCTGGGAGAACCCTCCACTGTGGGGGGAAAGAAGAGACACGAGAACCTAGGGAGGAAGAAATGAGGGAGCGGTGGGGGTAGAAGGCAGCGAGGAGGCCAAGGAATAGCCTCGGCAGCCCGTCTTGAGCACCAGAACGCCTCCCAGGGAGCAAGGCAAGACTGGCCTATTGGAGCTCATGCTGCTCCTGAGCTGAGAAGGCAGGAGACACACGTAGCTGTTGAGAGAGCGAGAGACAGAGACTGAAGGGAGTGCTGGGGAATGTCGCCGGCTGCCCGCGGGGTGACCTGAACAGAGCTTTGCCCTCTCCGCCACAGCGACGCAGAGCCTCTGGTGATCCATAAGCTGCCCATGTTGGAGAAGGGAGTGCCCAGTGCCTCGCAGCCCTCCCTGGAGCCCCTGAGCCCAGCTGCTGCGGCCTCTGCACACATGCCCACGGTAGCCACCACGGCTGTCCTCACGGCAGCCCCCACCACTGTCCTCACCGCTACTATCTCTGCAGCAGCCACGACAATGGCTACCACGGCTGCCCTGGAAACGGTGATGAAAGACAGGTGAGCTGGGAAAGCCCGGGGCAAGGGACGGTGGCCTGGCTTCCAGAGCTTTCCTGGAGGGGTGGGAATGGGCACCGGAGACAGGCTGCTGCCAGTGACGTACAGGGAAGGGTGGGCTCCAAGGCCCAGACTTGTGTCGGTTGGCTCATTTTTTTCGGGCTGACCCCTCTTGCCATCGGGACCCTGAGACCCTGCGGCCCACAGCCGGCTCTGCTCTGCCCGGGGGCTTATCCACGCCTACCATGAGTTTGGGAGGGTCGGGCAGAACCCCCCCCCCCCCCCCCCTGGCTGGCCCCCCCGTAGGGGGCGAGCCCGTGGGGGGGCAGGGGCAGGGGGCCCCCGGCCCCGGGAGTGCCCCGTCTAAAGGGTTTCCCCTTCTCCCCCCCCCCACCCCGTAGGAAAGAGGAGGCGCCACCTCCTGAAGCCACGTTAAATGGTCCTGCTTGACGCTGCCGCCTCCCTCAGGCCACGTCTCCCTGAGGCCGGGCTGCTTCCACTTAGGCAAGAAAACTACCTGGTGATGCAAATGGTCTGTTTTTTTATTTTAATTTTATTTTTTAATAAATGCTGCATTGGTAAAGCTGGTGGTCAGGACCAGTCAAACGACGGCCACAAGCGAACCCTTTCTTAGCAAACGTGGGGAAGGACGTTTGCATTGTCTCGCGTAGCCGCAGGAGGCGCCTGGGCCGGAGCCAGACTTCAGCCTGCTTCCTCTCCCTGCTGCCCACTGCCCTCGGGCCTGCCCCCTGAATGTTGACCTGTTCTCCTCCGAGCGTTTCCTCTCGTGTGGCCTGTGGAGCGAGCCCCACAGGGGCTGGTGGGGGCAGCACCGGGGGCACCGTGGCCACGAGCCGGGGCGCCAGGCACACGTGTTGCCCCCTACAGCAATAAAGCCTTATCGGACAGAAGGAGCCCGAGCTTCCCAGGGTGGGGGGCGGGAGGGAGGAAAGTAGACACCAGGGGCCCCCTCCGAATACCAGCCACCTGCCCACCGCTCAGCCCTCAGCGGTCGGGGAGGAGATGGCCTGCGGAGGACTGGGACGGCTGCCTCAGGAACAGAGCCCTGCAGCCCCAGGGGAGCGGGCACGCGTGGGCCACAGCCAGCTCTGGACCTCGTGGACTTTAAGACGGAGCCGACGGGGAACCTGCGAGCAGTTTTCTGGCCTCTTGTTTTTCACATTTTTTAATGGAAGCAGGAACAGCCACATTTTTGCACTTTGTATCAGCGACAGCATTGGAGCCCAAGACATGGACTCTTCCCTCGCCCCAGCCTTTGTTTCGCCCCCTCCCCCATCCCGTCTCTGCCCAACTCCAACCCCTGCCTGCTGGCAAAGAGCGTGCCCAAGCAGGGTGAGCTCCCTGGCTCCAGCCTCGGAAGCCCCAGCCCTCGGCAGTGAAGATCCTAAGGCCTGGGGCAGGGTCAGAACAGGGCAGCAACACAATCCCCAAAGGTCTCAGGCTGAAACTAAGACTACGAAAACCTCAAAGGATAAATTTTAAAAGTTATGCACCTGAACAAAAAGCCCACGGAAGCGTAGGCTTGCCTGAACGGTGCTGCAGCGTCCACCTAGTGGCAAAGTCTGGGGGTCAAGTGGGCTGCAAGCTCGCTAAGTCACCAGCAAGCAGACCCAGTCCCAGGATGCATTGAGGGAGGGAGCTCCCAGGGCCAGGAGGGGACTGTCCAGCTCTCCTTGGACCTGCTTAGACTCGATTTGGCACCTGGTGTTTGGGTCTGAGCTCTCAGTTTAAGAAGTCCATTGGGGAGCTGGAGAGGGGCCCAGAAACCAGGCCAGAAGGGGAGAGGACAGACCTGGGGATGCCCAGCTGGAGAAGGGAAGGCTCAGTGGAGGACTGGAATTAGACACTTGGACTGAGCCATAAGAGGAAGGTGAGGGAGGCAGATTTGGGCTGAGAAGGCCTTGGGAGGTACTGAGCTCCTTGTCACTGGGAATGCTCAGGTAGAAGCTGGGTGCCCTCTATCAGGAGGAATGCTGTAGGGCCAGCTGCAGGAGACAGGACCCTGGGAGCCCCAAGAATCTGCTGCCTTCCCCCCACCTCAAATAAGGCCTCAACTGTGGTCTTAATGGACCCCTGCCTTCACTAGTGGAGCTTAGTTCTTCCTTTATGGGCCTGGGGTGGGAGGGGGTGGGAGGCGGCAGGAGAGTGGTGAGATTTGAGACAAGCGAGGATGGAGCTCCTGGAGATCACTCCTGTAGACTCTAGCTGCCCGGGTTCTCAGAGGCGTAGGGAGAAGGGTCCTGTTCCCTGCTAGCCACCATGGCATGGAGGGCAGGGGACACCTGGCAGCCGCAGGAGGTGCAGACAGGTTCCTCACCTGCACCCGGCAGCTGCTTGGGCTCAGGCAGGCAGGCCCTTGGAGGCCTCCCAGACGAGCCCTTCCCGAAACGGGCTCTGGGCCCCGCTGTGCCACCCCCACGCCTTCTCCTCTACCTCCTGCTGGCGTCCAGCCAGCCGGGTGCCCACTCTCCCTCCCATGCCAGTGATGCCGGTTGTGACTGCCCAGCCCTCTCAGATGGCTCTCGGAGCTGCCCGAGGTGCTGGCGACAGCCAGAATTCAGGCAGTGGGAGCCAGGCTCTGACCTCCCACACAGAACGTTTGTCTGTTCCCTTCTTGGTCTTTGATTTGCTGAATTTAGGTGATCTCTTTAAAATCATGGTAAACATATCAAATGTACACTTTGAAATGGCCCTGAGTATAAATTGTTGCGTGCGTGCTTGACCGGGGGCGGGTGGGTCCTGCTACATAGGGGCCAGGTCCCATTAAAGAGCAGCCCTGGGCCCGGGGGGGAGGTGGGGGGCGGCACCTGTTGCGTGTGTCTCCAGCGGGGGGCCAGGAACTGGTCTACAGGCACCCGAGTGAAACGAATCTTTGCTGGACTGGGGCTGGGTCTGGGGGAGGGAAGGGTCCAGAAGGATCAAGGGCTAGCCTGACAGACACCCCTCTGGGCTGACATCCTGGGGCCTGTCCTTCCACTTCTGTCCCCAAGGGAGTTGTTACTCCCTTCCCCCCCCCCCCCCCCAGTCCCCAGCCACTGTCGTTGGGACTCCGGACAAGCCTGTTTTTCTCTGGGCCCCGTTTCCTTCTCTGTAAACCTCTAGATCTGCCTGTACTCCTCCCTGGGTGGGCTCGTCTCTGAGAGAGCACCCTAGCTCCCTTGCCCCACTCTCTTTCCTGGGAGATGACCTTGTACAGGGGATGAGGCTCAGACCCGTTCCAAATCCGGCTTTCCCAGGCAGTCATCAATGCAGCAAGGCTGATAGCGCCTCGTCTCTAGGTCCTAAGACCTGGCCATCTGTCAGCACCCCCTGGTGCCACTCTCCTCGGACTGATCCTCTGCACCCCCAGCCCAGGCACAAGGCTGCTTCGATGCTGCCTTCTCTTTCGCCTGCAACCTGCCCACCCCACACACCTGATCTGACTGGGCCTGCATTCAAGGCCTTCCAGCCTACCTCTCCCTCTCTTTCCCTGCATAATCTCTGTTCCAACCATGGTGCCCCTTGCCAATACCAGCCCAGGCTGGGGTTCCCAGCTGGCTGACATGCATTTTTTTCCTGTTCTGTGCCCGCGAGCCCCTCAAAAGCTTGGCCCCCCTGTGAACAAATGGCCTTCCTTTTCACTGGAGTGAATTCGATCCATCACTCAGGGCGCTTTCTAAAGGACTTTGGAGACTTGAAGCTGCCTGTCGCCGGCTGAGGATGAGTCATCTGGAGGAGCCCATGACCTCAGCCAGCACATGTGGTCACATCCCACATCAGGAGGAGGCAGCAGGAGCTCCCTGGAGGCCGTGGGGCCAGGCCCAGCTGGGGATGGCTCTCCCTGCCATGCCCTGGGCTGCTGCATGGCCGCTCCCCCCAGCCCCCAGGCCTGGCCCGGAGGGGAGCTCAGAGAGCAGGAAGGCTCCTGTTTTATTAAATTCCATCAGTTCTCTTTATATAATCCTTTGTTCTAGACACAATACATGGGGGTGGGGCCGTCTGGGGCCAGACACATTTACAGAGACTGGGGTGAACAGAATCTACACAAGTGACAGTGGCCACAGGCCTGCCACAGGGTCAGGCTATTTACAAAACCCACTTCAAAGACTCGGGTGACCATTAACCCCCACCCCCCCACCCCCGGGGGAAGTCTGGCTGAGAGGGAGGGAACTGTACCATGGCTGTCTCCATAGGCAGGGGCTGCTCAGTCCTGACACCATCAATAAATTACAGTCATGAGAGGAGGCAGGCCTGCCCTGGGGCAGCGTGGGGTGGACAGAGGCCACACTGGCCAACAGACCTGTCCCAGAGAGGGCAGAGACAAACTTGGGGCCACACGGCCCAGCACATTTCCAGGTCTTTGGGAGTGGGGTGGGGGTGGGGTGTAACTCATTGAGTAGGCCCTACCCCAGGGCAAGGGTCAGGACACGACGAGGACCAAGGACCCCCAGAGTTTATGTACAAAGTCAAGTGCTGAGGCTGGGGGTGGGCGGGGGCCCCCACACTGGTGCAGAACCCCAATACTGTCGGATGCCCCGGGAGGGCTGGGCCTGTAAACAAAGGGCAGACTGGATGGCCCTGCCCCCCTGGACCCCCATAGTGGTTTGTAGCGACTGGAAGCTGGCGTCCAACCCTAGCAGGCCAGGAGCTCTAGGGTCCCCGGCGGGCTCAGGCGTCCGACAGGCAGCTCTGGAGCCGATCCACCCACTGC